ACGCCCTTTCTTTGTATTGTAATTGGATATACCTCTTTTGATTTCATTTTTTATCGCATAGATACCACGGCATACATGTCTTTTTCTTTCCTTTTCTCGGTTGCGATTCGTTGATGTAGAAATTGGTGTTGATCTGGGTGAAATGTTACGAATAAATATCGAGCTGATTCACAGCACTAAGGATCAATCAGAGCTATTCTATGACGGGGCTACGAATCATAAGCCTCCTTTTGTCCATTCTAGTCATAATCGTCCAATGGACTAAAAATCAGTAATGCAAAAGCTCAATTACGGTTGGCTACTAGTTTGTGCATGTGACCGTTCCTCTTCAATCAAGTAATTTATCTGCTAATGAGTTCTTATTATCGAACCCTTGGTCTATGGACCATTGAGTCCTAGATTGGAAAACCTTTTAGCTTTAAACTCAGTTGATAGAGGTCGGTTATTTTAGCTCATGCTGAACTTTCCCCTCCTTGGCTAGTGCCAACGGTTGTGGCGTATCTTTAAGACAAACCGTCAGCTCATGGTTGACTTGTAATGAATGTATCATACAGCTGTCATGTCTGTGTATATTTGCGAACATTTTGATAGGTGTCAAAGCATATCATGCATTACAGGAAGATTAGTAACGTAGATGTGAGATCCTGGAAATGAGCGGAACTCTCTGGGGTATGTGGAGTAGTTCGAGCTATTTCTTTGACTTGAAGACCTAAAAACTAGCGTTGGGGTCGAGCTCTAGATGATGGACTAGCGGGCAATTCTGACCTAATAGCCTACGCTCAGAATTACTGTTATGACCGGTCTTCCACGAAGAAAAGAGCCAAGACAAGGCCGAGAATCTTGTCCCTTAGAGCTCACCAATAAGAGGTATAGTGCTATGAAAAATCTCCACTTGGAGTTTCCCCCAAGTGGAGAGAACTACTTTAGTTTCAACGTTATCCTTCATTCATCAACCATCAAGGTCATCACTTGTGCTGCACGTCATGTGAATAAAGTGGGTAAAGATGGCATTAGATGAATTTGCAGTCTGGGGTATCTCCGCATTTCAATAGCTATATATAGTCTGAGCATCTTCTCTTCAGCTCGGTCCGCTTCATTTTTCATTGGGAATTAATATCTATAAGTTATTCTAAACATGGCATCCAATAAATCGAACGAGGACAGAGATGTCCATCCGCATGACAACCCTCCGATTTCTTTCACGGAAAAACTCAGATGTTCTTTCCCTGCCACAGGTGGTTTCCTCTTCGGTTACGATGCTGGTTACATCAACGGCTGTCTTGGAAGTAAGTTGCTTATTCTTTACTATCTATCTGTGTATACATACTAACCACCTCTCAATAATAGTGGACTACTTCAAATTGGCTTATGGTGAGCCCTCAACTGATCCCCTGGGCTACATGGGCTATATGTATCCTACCTGGGGCAAATCAGTCATAGTTTCCTTACTTTCTGTCGGCACATTCCTCGGTGCCCTTGTCTCTGGCTACTCGTCTGACAGATGGGGTCGTCGTAACACTATCCTCATCGGTTGCGTTATCTACTGTGTCGGTGTCGTCCTCCAAGTCGCTTATCCGGTCATTGGTATGCTGGCAGCCGGCCGTGCCATTGCTGGTTTTGGTATCGGCTTTGTGTCTGCCAATATCATTGCTTTCCAAACCGAGATTTGCCCCCAGAAGATTCGAGGTGCTTGTATCAGTGTCTATCAATTTGGAATCACAATCGGCCTTCTCATCGCTTCGGGAGTCAATCAAGGTACCAAAGATATCCGAAGTAACGCCTCATTCCAAATTCCTATTGGATTGCAGTTTGTCTTTGCAGCTTTCCTTTTTATCGGCTTAATTCTTATTCTCCCTGAATCTCCAAGATGGTATCTCTCTAAGGGAAGAGAGGAACAGGCTAAGGCTGCTTTAAGGAGGTTGCGTGGACGCGCTGATGGCAATGTATACCTTGAAAGAGAATATGCGGTTATGATTGAGGATACTAGGATCGAGCGTGCAAATGGTAACGGTGCATGGAAAGACCTCTTTACCGGAGGTTTCCATCGCGGAAGTAATCTTTATAGAACTTTTATCGGTACCATGGTGCAAATGATGCAACAACTAAGTAAGCTATCTTTCTCAACCTTAAGTATGATCTTAATATGTCACTAACCATTATCATAGCTGGCGTCAATTTTATTTTCTACTATGGTACAACGTATTTCGCACAAGTTGGACTGACCAGTGTCTTCCTCTTGGCTACAATTACAAACGTTGGTAAGTGAAGTTCAATTACCGGCAATCCTCACTGCGTAAACTAACACAGTACAGTAAACGTTCTCTCAACCCCTATCTCTTTCTGGACCATTGAAAGATTCGGCAGACGTCCGCTTCTCATCTATGGCGGTATCTTCATGTCTATCTGCGAATTTATCATCGCCATTGTCGGCACCATACTCACCGAGAACAAGGCCGCTCAATGGGTCCTTTTCGTATTCGTCTTAGTCCACATCTTCTCCTTCGCTAGCACTTGGGGTCCTACCGCCTGGGCCGTATCTGGCGAGATGTTTCCATTGGCTCTTCGCGGTCGTGGAGTTGCTCTCAGTACCGCCTCGAATTGGTTTTGGAACTTCATCATTGCATTCGTCACCCCATATTTGGTGGGCGAAGAAAATGCCAATTTGAAGGCCAAGGTCTTTTTCATTTTCGGTGCTACCGGTTTCCTATCTGCTTTGTTCGCTTACATCTTCATCTATGAAACTAAGGGACAGTCTTTGGAATCAATTGATCGCATGTGTGCGGATCCTCGCGCCAGAGACCCAAGACATAGTCCCGAGTGGACAAAAAATGGTAATGGTGTCATGAATGCTGAGTCCACCGGAGCCAATGTTGAGGTTGGACAAGGAGTCTTGGCTCAGAGAACTCAGAGTAAGCAGGAGGGAGCGGTTCACATGGTTGAGAAAGCGAATACTGCTAGTCGCTAATCTCTATTTTCTAACTTACATTTTGGATTTTGGATTTGATATGGATATGGACGTTTGACATATATAAATACATACCCAAGTAATATTTAATCTTCGGCGAGGGTCGGAGTTGGAGAGAAAGGGGGGTGGGGGGGTGGAGAAAATGGAGGGAGAATTGGAGGGTGTTTGGAAAAGTTGACATGAAGATATATGTTACATATATTTACTTTGTATGATGGTGTTAATTCAGTAATCGAATATTCCTCTTACGAAGACATTCTTGTATTAGGACCGTCATGGTATCTAATATCATTTTTGTCGTTCTGCGAATTTCATATTTATCTTCGTGCATATATTATTTATGGAACAGATTTCCTCACATTTTACTAAAAAACGCTGCCGCCATAGTATTAGATCAAGTAAGAAGGACATCATCCGAATATACCCCTGATACCTCGATATACTAACCGTCTATCTTCTAAGAACACATACCTAGAGCCCGACCAGACATTCTCCCTGAAACCATAAATGAGATCATTCATCTTCCAGAGGCATAGAAACAGCACACCCATTCATCCTTCGTATTCAACATTCAAAGTGTTAAATAAACACATCCGAAGTTGGGAAAAAGATTTCTACCTGTATTCTCGTTATCACAGTCCACAGGATCCCATAGTTTCTCACTATTCAAAAACAATAATAATTCTGATTCCTGAATTCATCTGAGTTGTTCGATATAACGAAGGGATTAAATATTCTCAGCTATACATTCATACTCGAATATCTATCCTACCTATATACAGCAATCGACCACTCATATTTAGTCGCTAGCATTTCTAAACTAAAACTCAGTTTGTTCAATGATATATAACTTTCTCAATAATGATTAATGATCTTTTCAATTTGATTATAGAGTTATTTCGAAGAAGATGTTATTCAAAAATTTGAAGATATATTTTTAGAAAAATTTCTGATAGAATTAATGTGTTGTAAAGTTGATGAATCAAATTTTGATTGTGTTTTTGCAATAAAATTGATGATAAATTTTAATATTATTTTGAAAAGTATTTTCTTTAATCAGATTAATTTTTTATATGACTAATTTATTAAAAGAGAAGATTGATAATGTTTCAATTTTTAATTCTAAGATATGAAAACGAGTTTATTATAAGTCCTATAATACTATTTAAATATTAAAGTAAATAAGGTGAGTTTTGGTATAGAAATGCTAGCGACTAAATATAAGTGGTTTAGTACTATACTTTCCAGCAAATCGTAGATTCCAATAAATGACAGGGATGATCTTAAGCATGAAATAAAATGAGAAGACTTGGAGTCTTGGAGATTGCTAAGATGGCGAGGAAATGTGAGGGGTTCGGATATTTGTGTTTTTTTTATGTATGTATCTGTGTTTAGATAGGATGTATCGAAGGAAGGTTCGCTTCGAGAAGGGGTGTGAGGGAGGAGGGGGGAAGGAAGTACTTGGAAGGTGGTGGGAAGGGAAGGGAAGGTAGGGAGGGAGAGAGGGAGGGAGTATGTGGTGTTTGGGGGCTTCGGTGGATATAACTAGGTAGAGACGTGGATGGGAACCTGGTTATGGATTATGGATGATGGTTGTACTATATATAAAAAGAGCATGTGCAAAATCTTGAAGAGTCGAATGGCAAAACGGAAGATATAAGTAGTTTTGTAGGCTAGAATCATAATGTACCGATACTACTTACTCCGACATATAGCAATCATCCGTACCTCCAATACTCCTCACACATAATGTTTGCATTCTCAAGCGCAGGAAACCAGACAAATCAAAGCCAATACGTTTATGAATTATGCACAAATCACCACCTGTCACCAGGCAGCCATCTATCTATTATCTAACCACTCCAATTCGCAATTACTTCTGTAAAATAACCATTTCGTCCATTATTGCAGTTATTAAGCAGGCTTTGTGCCGGGTATGATGGATATCTTAAACGCCAAAAACTCCACTTCTCTCCTTTCCTCCATATTATCATCATTACTTTCATTTCGGAATATCAATATAGATATCACCTGCTCAAAGTGCGAACACCAAAACAGCACCCATGATAGCTATAAAACTGCTCTGAACACTGATTTTTCCTGCCGCGCCGGTGAACTGTGCAGGACCGCCAGTAGTTGTAGCAGTTCCATTTGCTCCTTCTCTCGTGCTGTTCGCACTTCCCTCATAATCACCTCCTACAACGCCATCCAACAAGGTGAAGTTCGCACAGGTGATTCGGGTAGTGTTTCCGAAATGAACAGTCAATGAGCGGTTACCGAAGAAACTACCCAAGCCTTCGAGCGTGGAAGCAAACTCATCAACGTAAGAGGCTTGGAAGGGATCGGAGGTGACTTTGCCGTGTTTACCAGATAGATCACCCACTTGACAGGTTTGGGGAAGGGAGGAGTTGCAAGCGGGGGTTTCGCCACGAAGGAAAGGATCGAGATGGCCGAGGGTACCTGTACAGTTTCCGTCTGAAGGAACGGGGTGGGCGTGGAGATGGTAGACTGAGATGGAGGTTAGGAGTGAAAATGAGAAAATGGCTAATCATGGAAGAACTTACCGAATGGTCCACCACTAGTGGGGAGGTTAGAGAATTGAACTTGGAATTGAACACCGATACCATCAGGGTTGGCAGTTGCGGAGACAGATCCTTTAATGTTACCACGTGGGTCATCTGGGTTGAAGAACTCCATGTCTGGAAGAGTAGCGACATAGATTGGACCGACTGGATTGTTTTCGGGGATGGTCGCATTGCCCAAGGTACCGGTTATTGGGAAAGTTGTTGTTTGTGCTTGCGCAAGACCGAGGAGTGCAGTTACGAGAACTGATGGGATCACCGTTGAACGCATCTTGATGGTGAGAAGAAATTTAAGTATATGTGAAACTTTTGAACGACCAGGAGACTTTCTTATCGGAAGGTGTTGAACTGAAAAAGAAAGGTCAGTATTTGAAGTTACAGAAGCTTTCGCGTGTAAATAAAGACTAACATTAAGAGGGAAGTGACGTTAGATGGATGTGAATGGTGTTCAAAGCGAAAGTGTTCCACTACTCAAGAGAGTATTGAAGAAATTATCTGAAAGATTATATTTCTGAGGAACGAAGGTAGTAGATAAGTAACCAAGTGTTTTAAGAGGGGAGAGAACAAAGGTTTATGAATCACAGATTGTGGATCGGATCGTGCCATCCCAAGGATTCACTCTACAAAGATCAAATTTGGATAGTGGATTAGGTAGCCTTGCCAAACATTACCCTACCGTTCCACAAAGCTTTTGAAGGTGCATATCCTCTGCAGGCAAGCTGCTGCGCCATTCTTTATACAGCAAATCGTTGGCATCTGCAGGTACAAGCGTTAGAAATAGTGGGCTGAGGTTGTACGCAATTCAAACACTTTGATTGTGGCCCGAAGGCCACGGCCGTTCTCACTACTTCTCTTTTGATGAGCAAAAGACGATCGGGGCCGGTACATTAGAATCAATATAGCAAGACTGTTTCAATTCAGTGGAGGTAGATAGTATGGGAAGTACTTCGGATTTTTTGCAGATTCTGCTTGTTTCATCATTTTGTTGCTACGACCTCCTAGCCTTGATTCTTCTAAAATTGATCACCATGTCAATCAAATTGGGAGTGATAGAAATGAGGTTGACTGCTAGCCAGGATCAAAATATCGACGATACGTATCACCAATTCGCTGTAGGCAATCATATTCATTTCATGCCAACATTGATGCAAATTAAAAGTAGATTTGGTTTTCTTCCTGCTGGTATCCAATAGTATTATGATATGTTACTCCATGGTTCATCTACGGTTGAAAGAAGATTCGAGACATGGGTACAATATGTCGAGATTTGGGGTAAAGCTAACTCGCTAAGGTTAATTGGTTAAGCTTTTCGTTTGGTTGATGAAACCCCTGAAATCCGAGCGTTTAAAACCTTGCGCCAATCATTCGGAACTCTTTTCCGGGAACACGAGGATGAAGGGAACGCTTTGATGGCTGGCAGGATTGCTGGATGCTGGTTTATAAGCCAGAAGAGAATGATGGTTGATCCTAATGATATGAAAAGTAAATTGGAATATCTTGTGTTTGAAAGTACCGCGCGCTACTCTTCAATCTCCCCAAGCATTTTATTACCTCCATCTCAATGTTTCGTTTCACGAATTCTGTGGTTATGAAATTCGTTGGCTGTCTGTGGCCCGTGATAGTACAACCGTCAGCAACTATGCTAGATGAAAGATGAAAGAGGCGCAGTAGTAAGTATATTGATAGTAGACGACCGCATGCCGTTAACGCCGTCGCTAATACCGAGGGCGAACGGTTGCCGGACTTTATCGCATTTGCTCATCAAGCAATCCGGATTCACCAAAACTTGGCCCATGGAAGGTTCAAAGATACCGGCTAGGCTACTGCCGAGTCCACCCACCATTAGCTTTTCGATACAATAGCACAGAGGCGGCGTTTCATAAACAAACCCTCCATCTGAGCGAATTGCGAGATACGAGCGATACACCACGGAATTCTTGGCATCCGTCCGTTCCAGTAATGGTTTGTAAGTCAAGCTTTCGAAAAGTCAGTGTCCGTCAATTCGAGCTTTTTGACAGAAGCTTGGCCAAGATTTGCAGATGTTGTTTATCCAAACAAATCAGACCATTTATGCACAGTTAGGTGATAGGTGATATTGACTAAATATAAAAACAACAATTGGTGACGTTCACAGCATCGACCGCTTTACTGGAAATGAGAAAGGGGCTAACTGAATCGTTTTTGAAAATATAACATACTGGCCTATTCTTTTCACGACACGATGCGATGGGACTTCGTCTCATCAGTTTCGGATAAAGTAACATAGACCAGCGATCTATGAACTAGACGTCTGATGTATAAGTGACGACTGTGTGCCTGAGTTCAAGCTGTGGCTGCGTGATTTACTCCTGTTTAGATGGTGTTGTCCTCACAGTCCGACCTGAGTTTCCATCGTGACCTGAATTTCCATCGTGGTATGGTGTCCCAATGATTTCAAGGCCAATGGTGATCAATTGGGAAGCTTGCATGCCTATAGCATTCCTGTGTAAAACAAAGTAGTGGCTTTGACCATCTGATACTTTGATAAAATGATGCCTTTATTCTGATTGAAGTGGAAGTAGGAAGGACCAAGTAACAGAGATAGAATATGGAATGATTGAATCATCACGCTTGATAAGACAGACGTTGAGTTTCCTTACAAACCATATCACGAAAAAGGACCATTCGAAAGCCTCGAAATTTGGCTCTGCAACCAGAATTTAAGACTGCGTTTGGATACCCTTGTGATGGATGACAAATGACCATCATAAAAGCTCATTGTCGATAATATAAAGAATATGAAAGGGAAACCCAGAATTGTTATTATATCATAGGATTCAAAGTGTGAGAATAGACTTTAATCAAGATATAGTTGGTCTTGCGGGAGTAAAACTACTTAAGTCTGAAGCTTCGCGAGGAAGCGAGTGCCAAGACTTACCTCGAAGCTCCGACTTGCCGACTTTCGACGACACTTTCAACCAGGTCCATCAACCAACCACCACCAACTTCCAACTTCAATCTCTCGCACCCTTATCACAGAGTTCACCTCTCTCTATTCATATCTATTTGCTCGTAACAAAAGCTTCACCACCACCACCGCCACCACCAAGATGAAGCCCGTCGTAGGAGTAATGCAAGCTTGGTCTTGGTTCGTGCCCTCATTGATTACTGTCTAGCCTTTGTTTCCATCAATTTCTAACTAGTGCTGTAGCATCGTCATCTCAGTATTTGCCGTCATCATCCTCTCTATCATCGGCTCTCTCTTCAAGAGTAACAACCACGCACTCTTGGGTGGAAAAGAGGACCCTGAGGACGGGGCTGCGGTCGCCGCTACGGTCTTTTCTGCTGTTATTGTCTATGTGGTATGTTTGATTGAAGCACCCAATGATTCCTGTTCAGACAGTTGTAAACTCTCCCCAATCATCCGCAATTCCGTAGCTAATGTATGTGTGTGCCAATCAATAGGTTTTCATCGTTGGTTGCGGTTTCCAAGCTTACCTACATTTCCGCGACAATCGAAGAGGTGCTATTACTCTTTCTTAACAAACGATTGGCGATCAGCACTGGTATATATGAGTTAGGCATAGAATTTTGGGGTCGATTCGGCGGCGTATGGTGTTCATTTCATTTTGAGACAATCCTATCGATGGAAATTGTATTGTATGAAAGTGCGGAATGAGATGGAATGATAATACTGGTTCATTGATTCTATGAACTTGCCACGCAAGATTCGGGGTATGCCGAGATATTGTCAACCCAAATAACGTGTCTGTCACAGCAAACTCCCTACATATCTTCAGCTTGGCTGGATAGATTGATATCTGGCGAATATAGCAGAGGGCGTTAGTTTCACCATTTTCCGCATCTTCCCAAGACACCTAGGTTGTGAATGAGAAATATCATTTGATACTTTTCCGAGCGATTCCATGCCTTTATTGTGCTCACTTGATATTTCTACGTTGAATATGATCTTGTAAGATTCTCACTCTGTTGTCACCACAACCCGGCCACTACTGCTAGTTTCTGCCATTTATACTTTCCCAAGAGTTTTAGTTGCGCTTTTGATTCTTGTTATGCATCTCTTCTCAATTAAATCTTTCCCCTGACAAAGCCTGTTTCATAATTTCACCCTCATATCATACATGGCAAAAGATCTAAACTTACAGCAGGCTGAGCGCCAACAGTACACTAATGAGGACAACTTACCATCATCTGCGAGTTTCCACTCAAAATGCTCTCAATTATTGTCAGTCCATTTCCAGACGATAAAAAATAAGTGCAAGATCTCAATGTGACAATTGCAAAGCGGAATCTCCAAATGCTGTTCACCACCAGGAAGGAGTCACGATCCATTGCCTGCTTCTTGTGAATCATTCTAAAGCATTCGAGTGAATGGATTGCTAATTAGTAGTTGTCTCAATTGACTTCTGTGAATCATTACAAATGCTGGTTGGAAATCGCCAGTGTTCCCATAAGGAGATAAGCTCAATGTGGATATAAACAGGTGAGACAATGATATGGAATCGGCTAATGGCCCGCTATGAAGTTATATCTTGGTTCCTTCTTACACTGACGGTGAGCTGACATTGAAAACGTTTTCTCAGGACCGTATTCTCTATTCACCTTGATGTATCGTACAATATTCACTGCCACTGTTGGTCCTATCCGCAGTATCTACCTTGTTGGCCATTCTCTGTCCACGTTCCTCCCCAACTGGCTCAATATCATCAACTATCCTTCTAATCTTCAGACCACAACTAGCTTCTCACCTTTTATATAAGCCTTTTCCAAATCTCTCTACTTCAACCTCCCGTCTCAAAACAACAAGAATTCAACAACAATTCTTCCACTACAATCCAACAATTCCACGCGCTTTACACGCACTTTAACATCATATCGCAAAATCAACTTTTCAAAAGTCCTACCATCAAAATGCATATCGCAAGCATCATGAAGCTCTCCCTCCTCACTTTCGCTACTCTAAGCTTTGCTGTACCAACTCCGGTAACTACTCCAATGGGCGCAGCGGTTGAGTACGCTCGTGCTGCTCAAGATGTTCCAGTTAATCTTGTTGAGCTTAGCAACAAGCGTGATGGTCCTATTGACTTGATTCAGCTTCCGTAAGTACCTAAAATGGGTTGTATTTCACAGTGCCTGGTGCCAACTTCAGGCTTCATAAGTCCACATATGATATTTTGCATTCTCTATTCTTGATAATTCAGATTATAATCCTCTTACTCCTCTGAGTGGGTTTCAAGATGAGCAATCGCTAACTCCCTTGATGATTTAGTGAGAAGCGCGATGGTCCCATTGATTTGATTCAACTTCCAAAGCGCGACAGCCCAGTTAACCTTGTTCAACTCCCCAAGAAGCGTCAAGACTCTCCAATCAACCTTGTCGAACTGAGTAACCGCGAAACCACCAAGTACAGATCCGTCCGCTCTTGCAACCCCCAAGATGCTCCCATCAATCTTATCCAACTTACTGAGAAGCGTCAAGATTCCCCCGTCAACTTTGTTGAACTCAGCAACCGTGCTGAAACTGAGCTCTTAGCAGCACGTCAAAATGACTGCGGTTCTTCACCTTACCAAAATCAAGAATGCAACGCTGGTACAGGCTTGAGCATTCCAGCATTTGCTGTAATCGCTATGGCTTTATGCGCCATTATGATCGTTTGAAAGGGCTTGAAGCACTGGGGTTGGGATGATCTTTGTGGGATTTTGCAGAGGGTATTATGGATGGATGGTTATGAGAATATCTTCAAGACATGCTCATGGGCTCACTCTGAAGGGCTCATTCTTGCTCTGGCGTTGCACTTTTACACATTGTTTTTAGCGTGGGTATGAAATCAGGGTGGCTCTTTTCATTTCATGGTGACTGGTTCGTCAAGTGGATTATCATATAATAGTTAGCTAGTTAAAACCTAGGTCTATATCTGCACGACAATCAATGAGTAAATCAATGTTTTTCACAATTTTGGATCTAAAAATTTGTTGACTGCATTCAGGTGCTTCCTTCGATATTCGATATCAACTAAAAACATTTTTGGATGTAATCAAAACTTCTCTGATTCATTACGAATCTAAGTTTTGTACATCTCGTTCGGAACTCGTCTGGTGATCTGACATCGAGATATCAGCTTTTCGGATGTATGGCTTGCATTTTGACACCTGGGTTATGAGGTATGCTACCTCATACACCACTCCATGGAGACTATGCAGTGCCAGACAATCGTGATTTTATTATGCGATGAACATCATACCTAGACCATTCCCAGTGATGATCATTCTCGCCCTGCATACAAGATGTATCGCATAACAAAAATGTGATAGCCATGTGATGATACTGTGAAAGAATGCGGGGTAAACCCCAATCCATCTCCCGACTTGCATCTCCCGAGCACACCTCGTCGCGCATCTCCCGAGTCTAACTTTGTTCTGCATCATCAACAACTTTTAGCCATCTTGGCTCTTTCCCAACCTTACGACACAAGATTCGCCAAACCTCCAGAATGTTCTGCTGCGGAAAAACTCCATTCCTCACCACATTACCCCATGCAGAATATTGAAACACTATTCTTCATGCATCTCGACTTTTCACCTCAGCACTTCTCACATCATGTGTTGCTCGCCATGTGCAATTTTCCCAATCTGGTATCACTATGCCCGAGTCATTGGGTAGCGGTTCCAACTTCTGATATACCGGTGAAGAGACATGGATCTTCATGAATATTACCACCTGAATATATATTGATACCACCATAAGCTTACCCCGAACCCAAACCAATTTTCAAATCACACCGTACATCCACAATGCACACATCATGAATCCACGATAACATGATTATTCAAGGTCCCCAAGCCATACGAATTTTTCTCCGCGGGAAGTGTGTGCGTGGTGGTGCTCAAAAATACCAATCAGATAGCCCTTAACCCATTTCTTTCAATTCTCAACCCGAAGCCTGTATAGCTGACGATTTATCTTACATCCAAATCCGTATATCTACATTCCAGACAAAGCCTAGAAGGGAAAGATAGGCTAAAAGCACATGAACCGTTGTCTTAACCCAGCCCGTGTGCAGGACGGCAATCTTGAGGCTTGGGGGCGTAGATAGACGGTTTGTGATTTGTGAGCAAATTTTTCCTGGGGATGCGACTGTAGATTTTTAGTGGCGAAGTAGTAGTTACGAGGACTATGACTGGATAGCCGATTGTTGGGCTGAAATATAGGCGATATAGGGGAGAAGATGAATGGATAGCTGGACGAGTGAAGTTCTCGGGCTTTAATGTCGTATGGTTCGGGTTCGTCGTGTAGAAACATTGGCTATGTATATTGACGGGATGGTGATTGATGGTGATGGTGAGAACAATTGTTGATACATGATATGTGTGATCTAGTCTGATATACTACATTCGGCATCCAACATTTAGTCTTGTGATCGCCTCGCAGAAAAACATGACGTCAGAACTCAAAGTAAAATTCGGAGAAAGGAAGAGAAACAACTCCGATCCTGGTAAATTACATCAGAAAGTGCTTATCATATGAAGCAGATGAATAAAATGCTAATTATGAGGAATAAGTACCATGTGGAATCATAAGTTCACGTACAATACATGTACTTATCACGGTAAGCTTAGGGTTCTTCCCTAAGTCCTGACTGTATCGTGTTCGGACAAACTAACAAGTAGTTCTACATACATAACACTAAATTCGCACGAGTAAAAATTATCTACTCACCAAGAAGAAAGGCCGTCAGAAGCAGAAATGCTAAAACTGAAACTGGATCTAATGCCCAGTAATCTGCATCTAGAACAATGTGCAGGATACTGTAGGATATAGCGATATATTATGTTATTTATATAGATACTTCTTGACATGCATACTAATACGCATGCAATAACAATGGTTGGCTCACCTTCCTCCTAAATAGGCTGCACGCGTACGACAAGATCCAGTTACACAAACGCACATAAGCTCACCAAAGATCAGACGATGATATTAGATATCGAAATCTAGGAGCGCCTGTTTGTGAAAACTAAATATGTATATACTAAATCCAAGAAGCAGTATCGTGCATATGCAGTCTTCGCGCACGGCAAACAACACACAACAGCAACCTAACGTATAACAAATCACCATTGCACGACCATATACATGATGATGTATCTACGCATCATCTCACCAACAATCATCTTCCTCAGCGCCTCCTCAATCACCACACCCTTGACCCCACCAAACTTTTTAAAATGATCGTTCCAAGCAGTCGGAACCAACCCTGAAATGCAATACAACTAAGAACAGGATGATCACCCCTTGGTCCTGCCCTTGACGACTTTATTCAAGCCCCAAAAACTCTTGGCTTTCGATAACGTCTTTTCCGGATTTTTTCCCTTTTCTTCCGTCGGCCATGACTCCGATTTTGATTTCGCCTTTTCATTTTCATTCGAATGCCTTCTTTCCCATTTTCCGGGCCAAGTTTCGTGGGCCCCTCCTTTATTAATATCATCCCAATATTTCACTTCTGTTGCCGACATCACTATCGCACTATCATTCGATCCGGTTGAAAGATGATGAACTGGGGAATGGTAAGTTGTTGAATGGCTTGTCCGTGGTCTCCCTCGATCAATCTCATAACTGTACATCTCATATCGTCTTAGCGGCTGTTCTCTCGAGTTTTGTTCCAATTCCGTGTTGACGGGAAAAAGCTCTCTGATAGGCCAATTTCCGGGTACTTTCACGACAACCGGACCAACACCCTCCTGACTTCTGAGTATTGGCAATGTCTTCCGCGGCTGCGCCGTAATGATAACAGTCTGCCCTATGTCTTCAACAAATGTTTCCAGCATAAATGCAAGGAATATATCGACATCGGAAAGGATCGACATAGCTCCCAGACTGGCTCGTACCACGCCCGTAGGCTTTCCATTGATTATCTCCGTATTGTCAGATTCACTACAGCGATGACCGGCTGACCAAGCTCGCTTGAAATGCCAAGGTGCTACCTTGAGATAACTTGCGATGCCTCCAGGGTTGCAAAGCCCACCAGCTCTTACGTATATGTCTTTCTGGTTGGCTAATCGTTCTACTGTCGAATACGACACGTAACTACCGTCCGACCGTAGGATATTGAATGCTACAGTAGCGCCCTGGATGGCGGCATCTGTGTAAGGGTGGGTATTAGTTGCGTCATGGTATATTTCGCAAACAGGCCGACCATTAGAGTGGCGAATGTTTGATAGGCCTTCGTAGAGGCGATGAGTGAGGAACATCGTATGCTTGGAGATGTTGGCCATTGAGCCATATAGATTATGGTGCACATCGATGGCACACCCCAGTGCAATAATCGAATGAAATGGTAATGTACCATCTTCTAATCCATCATGAATCGTGGCATCTTTCCTGTGGTAAGATGCCTCATGTATTACGGTTAGAGACGATACTGTACCGCCGCCGAAGTACTTACGCCAAGTCAGGATATGTGCCGATTTCCTGCGAACTATCAGAGCTCCTAGATCGGGGAAGCCAAATATTTTGTAGAACGAAAGGACGGTAAAATCAGGAGACGCGTCGGGATCACTGAAGTCAAGCTGAGTTGTTGTCGCAAGGCCTGCAGCGTCTAAGAGAGAATAGGTATTCTGATGTGAAATGCGAGTCGATCTCCGTAATTTTTTACTCCAGGAGAGAGGTAGTCGACGACCAGTCATATTTGATTGCCCCGGAAATGCAAGAATTCCTGGCGTTTCATCATCTTCCCTTCTTCCCGGAAGAGATCTGTAGCCAAGTAACCAGTCTTCTACTTCTTGGTCGCTTGTGAAGCAGTGATGCTGTCCATTGGTATGTTCGCGCGGGCCAACGAGACTCGTATGAGCATCTTTATGATAGCCGTACCAAAATGATCCCGAGGTCGAACTCTCTAGCGCCAAGTCTCTGAAACTTTCTGCGACCAATTTGATCGCTGCAGTAGCATTTGCAGTGAAGACAAGGTCAAAATGAGCAGGATCGGCCCCAAGAAATCTCAATGCTTTTTCACGCACGGAGTCGACGACATGCCCCGAAAGTTGCGCCGGGGCTGATGCCGAGTGTGGGTTTCCAAAGAGATTTCCCACCATTTCTTTGGAAAATTTGTCAATCAAAGACTTCGCATATACAGCTACATGCATCATGATTAGCACTCCGTAATTTAGATAATTATGCAGGACCAGAAGTATAAATCTGGCTGTCCGATGAGCAGTAAGACCGAATATCAGAAATCATAAGTTGAAATCAAAGGGGTAACAGCAGTGGAATATTAAAGTCTTACTTGTGCCCGCATGGTCAAGATACGTTTTCCCTGTTGTAATTTAGCGATTGGGGGTTCTATCAGCTCAGAATCTTTGTGTAAAATCACCTTTCATCATAGGGTATTCTTCTTCTCTGAAGGCCTCAACCTGTCGGTTATATGCCATAGTGTTGAAATTTTGAGTACTCGGTTTTATATAGAGACAGTTACAAGAAACAACCGAAGGCAACTGCCCATTTCTATATGTACAAGTTCAAAGGACTCGGAGCAAGACGGGTTAAAAGGAAAAAAGCGCTCAGGCTAATAGTAGCCTGTGACCTGATAGAGCTCTAAGTAAGCTACTATTGGCGATACCTTAACTTGGAGGCACAGCCATAAATTTTCAAGATGATTGCCGGAAAGAGAGAGTGTTGGCCATGTTGGATCCAAGTAGATTCAACGTCTCTTGAAGCTCCTGGAGCAAGCCTGTAGGGCTAGTATTAGTCATCTAACCTGCTGTTTAATTCCATCGTTTTCAACCTGTAAGCAGCCAGGGATTGTCTCTAGTAGAATTTTCAATGCTTACTGTGCTTAAAGGGAACAAGCCCATGATCAAGATGAGAAGAAAACGCTGACGTGCCGTGTGAAAATAGAACCGGTAGCAATGGGATATCCAAAAAAGGAAGTCGCCCGATCATGAAATGGCTGTGCACCAGCTCTAGATGGTGCCTATCACAAAGTGGTTTCCTTAGCGGATATACCCGCTACCACAAAATTTCTGGGCGGCGCCCATCACTCACTGCCATTTGTCGAATCGACGTGTTTCCTGCGAGTACCAACTGTAATGTGGACCAGCTCAATCAATATTGGACAGACCGCGATCTCGTACTCCAACTTGAAGATCTGGACTTTTCAACGGGTGACATTCCATTTTTTCCTCTTCCATTTGTCAATCGCGCGAATAGTTTCAACAAACTGAGTGCAAGATATCTGCTCAGCTAAGAAAAGTAACAATCCAACTCAGTTGTGATAATGATATTGAACAATGGCACCTCGAGTATATTCAGTGAAGGTCGTGATCGATTCATAATTCACTACCCTAGTCTTTCAGTAATTCTTAGTGACTATAGACCCATAAGCAGACTATTGATCTCAAGGATCGAGATATAGATTGGACGTGTGACGATTTCGAAACGTCAATATTACACACTAAAAAGCACCTTAATTGATGATCAGTACGCCTCTTCGAGCATAAGTTCCACAACGATGAAGAAACATATTCTAAGCCGTGTATTCTTAGACGGTGATTGATGGCGTTTCAGAAATATCTCAGCTTGCATGCAGTGCCGACATCGTAATGGATGTTGAGCCAAGGGGCAGATTAATGATGATGAAATTTTCAGCCTTGTTGGGTTGGTAATCGATAGCGTGATACAAGGGTGTGCACGTGAGAAGGGATAGACGGATTGAGGCTCACAGTATCATTGAGTAAGTACCGATGTATCGCTGTTCCTGTGTTTGTTCGTTGTTCGTTGATTTAAGGACAAGCGCTTATCAGTGGAAAAAAGCTCACTCCGATGCTGCTATAGTGAGTTCAATAACCTCCCGCCGCAGAGCAAGCGCTTGCGACAAGCGTCAATTTGCAGCTGAATGATGTTGATTGGCCAAAGTTTGCTGGTACCTCGTGGGAGGTCGGCGACCTTATCATGAGGTCCCCGATTTATAAATTGATATGTGTACAAAGAACCCCTCGGAACTTAAAAAGAAAAGGATATGTCGTGACAGTCAAAAGTGAATTAAACTTTAGGTGTTACGCGCCTCAAGCTTATAGAAGTTTTGTGTTGTAACATTAAATTCGTGGCGATGTCAATCACGTGTATACGTGATGCCCAATAATTTGAGATATTATTGTCGGAACCAGAGTGTAGCATGTGAGCACTTCTTTCAAACCTGTCAAGTTATCCGACTTTGTTGAACTGTAAGTTGCCTGTCTCTGTAAATCCATTGCCGACGAAGCAATGCCAAAGAAGATGGAGCAATGGAGAAAGGGATGGTGAAAGACTTGCCATGTTGACCAAAACCCGTGCTGGCAATGTCCATTTGTTCAATTCGCCTCATATGTTGATAACTAGTACCAAATATTTGTGTAACCCAGTCGCAATCATCACCGTAAATGGCGGTACAGATGATCAGGCGTGCTCTCCGACTGTTAATATTTCCTCTGACTCTGCAATAAGTAACCAAGACCTATGCTCACCCCAATCTTACAACCTCCTTCAGACAAGCCATAATCAGTCACCTGTCTTCAAGTAGTTTCTATGAGAGGACCTTGTGGAGCACGGGTCAGTCTATGTGGAAGTTTGCATACCCAAGATACCTAGGTATTGAATGATCAGACTCCACCACAAGACCTTCGCGCAGGGGATTCAAGGTACTGCCGTAAGACTTCTAGGACGTAGTCCAAATAGTTGTAGAATCTCCGCCCTTATACAGAATTTGAATATTGAGAGGACTGACATCTTCCAAACTTGGACAGAATCACAGAGCATCGGTCTATGAAAGGGATCCTGTTCATCTGAGAGTCAATGCTGTAGGCACCTGGCGTGGTATTTTTCACTGTAAAACATTTAGTTTCAAAGCCATACACCAGCTCTACTCTGACTGAATCTTGGCATGCTCACCCTGCTTAAACAAACTTTCTTCTCTGTTGCTGTGTTTTTGTGAGTTTAATAATCTTTAAATTCGATTTTTGGACACGAGGAGAAACCTTCACTATGGATAGTCCTCCAAAGGAAAGTATGAAGCGTTTGATATAGTGAGGAAACTGCTGAATTGAATGCCGAAGTCGATGCTATATGAAGAACTGCTCCTGCCGGCACTTGGCCTGCATGATACACCTTCGGCGAATGAGTCGGGGACTGATGGTATCGGAAGAATTCTGGATGGCTAATATGAATTGTAGACAACTACGGGAGAAGGATATTATGCAGGCAGGGTGCAGTTTGCGAGAAGTCGACCTGACGGTCAAATTGTCACTTCTGCCGTGTAACAATCATGCAAGGCACTGGAACTTGGCCTGGAAAGGCCGCAGACTGACTGCTGAAAGTATTTCAACCGATCACTAAGTGAGAAGATAGAATAGAACTACGATGTGTAGTTTCAATCGCGTTAAATATGAGATACGATCATGAACTTAAACTATTGATATACAGTTCCATCATAGCTAGAACTAACTAGATATATATCTTACTAGACCCAACAAACGCGAAAGGGCTATCCATAGTTGTAGCAAATGAACCGAAAAGTGCTGTTATGAACAAGAAGTCCTGATGTACCAAGTTGAGTAATATATTCGATTGAATATCACAATGATGTTATTGATGTTGAGCTGCCTGTAAAGCACTTTTCCCGGATTTACAACCACTGTAGATATGCTTGCCATTGGAGATTGCCACTGCAGCGACATGATAGGAGAGTCCGAGCACCCCCAACCCAGCGCAAATCGGTTGATATGGGTTGGAACTTGCATGAAGCCGGGATTCCATGCACCAGCAGACATGTTCAGTATTCCTCATTTTTCCCAATCCATGCTGGCATCACGACTTATGGTCGCGAGTCGTTAACATGAATGAAATGACTCGTGTTCATGTGTCTTGGTATCTTTGAAGTTACCTCAACAAACTCCGTGTAAGATTCATAGGAGTTATCGTGCGTAGCGGCGCAAAGTAGCCTCGTGGTTTTAAAGCAACTGTTGTGTTCTAAATTTGTGATGGCTGTCAATTCTGTCACCTCGGAAAATGACACTATGAGACATGTTGCAGTACCCGACACGGGGATTACGTCAAAACGGCCCTGGCATCCATCTACCTTAATTCGTACATGACTGCAGGTGTCAATCAGGATGAAACAAATATTAGTCCAAGTCCCAATTTTGGCGTCTCACTAAGATTCCCGGTCCTCCGCTTTTATAAAAACCGAGCGATTGGGAAATGTACGAAAAGAGTCTTGAAAAGAGAACTGCTAAAAGATCGCAACCTGGCCAAAGAACACCCTAAAAGAGATGCGGGACGAGAAAGAAATAATTTTCTAAGGATGATTCAGAAGAGATGTGTAATGGTAGCCGGTGCTACCATAGATGCGAGCTGCAATTTGATGTTTAGTGCGGTCGGATATCAGCATCGTACAAATACGTGTTGGCGCTATCTAGTCTAGCTTCCTCAGACTAAAATGATCCAGGAACAACAATCTTGCAGTCGATCGAATCAGGTATAGAGTGTGGACGATGGGCTATCACTTCATCCCCTCCCAGTTCAAAGAGAAACCTGCTAGACACTGACGCGTTCTGTTCTTGGAGAGTTTTTTCCTCAAAAATTCCCTATTTCAGCGGTCAAAGAGAAAGTCTAGCGACTGATATCCCCGCCACTAGTGGTCAACAATGGGCGTGTTCCGACTGGAACCAAGGCTTAAACCACGGTTAACAGCTTCATGCATTGAGGTTACGTGTAATATGTTGCAGAATCATTCCCTAATAATGATCATCAGGAATTCCTTTCTTGACATATGTTCCCTGGACCGGAGGGTAACATATAGGCAAGCTAACTTGAGGTGATGCTTATCAGATCAGAAATCCTCGGAAATCCGCTAGATAAGCTTGCTTGCTTCCGAAAATGGTATATGACGATCATAAAGTGAAAGATTTTGTTTGCTTGTTTGATCGCATTCGCAATAAGACATCCGGCAAATTTGCCTCCAATACATCCATCGCGGAAAGTCTTAGGCAGTAGTGTAGATGATCAACTTCTCGTATGTTTGAAAAAGTAACTGTCGCGATCCTCACATAGGATTGGATTGAAAGGGTATGCCGCGTCGGATTCTGTTTCTGAAATATGGGTCCAATCAATGCCGAATTTCGATGGCCCTTCTGTCCTCCTTGACTTTGACTGTATCAACCGATCCGAGCCATAATATTGATCATCTCATCTCTAGACCCCAAAACGGCCCCTGTGCCGCGTGGAATATATGTATGTTCCATTGATTATGCCGCACATGTAGTCAGCTCAATCATGGACTTCAGGTCTCGAGCCTTATGGTCAATCCAATCAGTAAAACATAAGCCACAAGACTCAGCGTCGTCAAAACAACCACAGCGTTCCCACTGGTCCTAAATTTTTTCCTTCCCATGCCATCCCCATCTATTTCGCTGAAGAATTGCCTGTTGCCCTCATATCTCCTATACAAGCTGACCATTAAGATTCCGGCTCCATATGTCGCGAATAAGGCCCCAATACTGTAAAATTCGGCCGTGAAGATTTTCAATACTACCAAAGCGAAACTAAATTGTCCCAAAGCAGTCCTTATATATGCTCCCTCGAAGGTCCTTTGTGCGGCTCGAATTTCCACAAGTCTGTATCATTTTTAAAACACGTCAGCCAGTGCGTACATGTACAGATTTCCGCGCTACTTGTTGCTCATTTCGAGGCTAGAAGGGGAAGTAAGAGGAGACAAACTCTTGCGCCGTTAAAATAACGGATCTCGCTCTATGTAAGCGTAAATGTAATCTATCTTCCGGATGTGGCTCCAGAACATTCAGCAGGGTATTCATAGTGATAATGGAAGTTGTACACAGTATAGAAATACTCTAGCACCGGTAGAGGTAGATGAGACTGGAGAAATACCTCGAACATACCGACGAATCGGCTCAATCTGTGAGTAGACATATCGTAAGTACCTAGGTAAAGTAGGAAGTACGGAGCAGGTAGTTGTACGGGGTACAGGGGGATTGGTTGAAGGCTTTTGCCCGTATCACATAAATTGATATGTTTGTTGGAGAAGTTCACAGCGAATGATGATGAGTTTAGAGCACGACACCACTCATGGTCCTAGCTGGGTGCCTGAGGCACAGACAGTCTCACAATTGCGCGCCGCCAATATAAATCTAGATTCGTGACTTCAATATGGTCAGGTATTTCATTTCAATGACTTCACATATAGGGACGATCTGACGCTCATTTTTTGGATCTTCGTGTTTTTTCGAATGGATAAAACCAGTGAGTGATAGACTCAATCCTATCCATGTATCGCTACATTCATACAAAATGCCCAGAGATGAAGCAAACTTCTCAATCCCTGTCTTTTCTGATAATATCTTTTCCTTCCTGTTCATTTGTCTAAGGTGTGCATGGAAAATCCCCCGCCGTCGTGAGATTACTTAGATGCATCCCACTTTATGATATCAAAAAACCAAAAGCAAAATCAGTAAAAAAAATCGCTGTCTCTTTTTCCTCCTGAAAAGAATTATAGTGAAAACCAGTCTCCAAACCAGTCCATTTAATATCGTTTCGCATGATGATGACCGCAATGTTCCGAGTAAAGAAATTCCCAAAATTTCGGTGTCCAGTATATACAAAAAGGCGCTTTCCATCTTGTTCATTCAGGTCCTCGAGCGAGGTTACATTTATAATCGCGCCTGGCGAAAGCCCTTATCGCTTTCGCTTTTCCCCGCCCAGATTTTACCCCAATCGCAAAATCTGTTGTATCGAACAGTCAATATATGCCGGAAGAACAACCAATTCCATGCGCCAATAATCCAGAAACGTAACCGTGATCCGCGATGTGCTGCTGTTCGATCGAAATGTATTCCTTGTTCCCGCTAACGGCCTGCTGCATGTGGCTGGCCAGCATAATAGACCCCGCCTCCAGAATTGCTATATCCGCCATATCCTCCCACACTTTCTTCTTCTTCTACAATGCGCTGTCCTCCTTGAGCGCCATTCCAAGAAGCATATGTATCAACTCCAGGTGAGACTTTCGCATAACCGCCAGTATACGGTTGATTCCAGCCTGTGTAAGGTCCCGCCGACATTGGAGTTGCAGAATGTGTGTAGGCTGTTCCAATTGTTGACGCGGATGAGATTTCGGCGGCGGAATGTGGATGTGTAGTCGTGATGTTGGGTGGGTATATTGCACCGTTAGAAGCGCGGGTTCTCGCAGAAGCGTATGACTCCGACGGGTTAGGAAGTCCATAAGCGGAATGTTGATGACTATTCTGCATTCCTTCCAAGTTGCTATACGAAACAGATCGCTGTGGTGCTGGCCATTCAGGCTCTCTTGGATTTGTTTCGGGCTGACCATGATGGCCTCTACTTTGCCAGTTTTGCGCATTGGCCAGGTGCATGTTAGGGGTGGTGTAAGGCGAGAACCCTGCAGTCATTGGAGATTCTTGGGAGGCAGGCCAGTAATTTCCAGACATGTCTGCTGGAGGTTTGGTACCTGGAGAGATTTCTGGTGCCATCCAAGCTGTGTGACCTCCATTATAGTCGAAGTTCCGTGATGAAGTGACGACTGGGGAACCGTTAGTAAGAAAATACACGAAAGTCAAATTACATACCCTTGTTATCGGGAGAAAAGCTTTCGTTCCTTTCTTTTTTGACCTGAGATCCTCCTAGGTTCTGGATTGATGGCATGCTCAGATGGTAAGGAAGATTAGGCTGCATGTCCGGTATCTGGCTAGATGAAATTGACGGTGAAGATGATTGAGAGGTTCCTCCTGTTCCACTTGGGGCTTTGGAGCCTCGACGCTTAGGTTCTGGCTGAGGTTGTTGGTCAACTGGATAGAAATTGCATTCCTTTTTTAATCTAATGCAATTTGAGCATCGATTTTGAGGATCTGCTGGAGCTGGTATACATCTAATCTTGCGTCGACGACAGTGACCTATGACGATCAGTTAGCATATTCATTAATTCTTCATTTCGTCTCAAAAGATAGATCGTATCTGTCTTCGATGGACGAGAATGAATCTTACCACAAGCTACCGACGTTCTATGATAACCTAATTTGTTTCTTCTCTTATCATTAACCAAGGCCAAGGCAGCCGCATCAGTGTTGTTAGAGGTTCTGATATTTGGAGTAGACATTGATCTTTTTGCTTTGGATTCTTTTGTCGCTTTGGATAAGGAAGAAGCTTCAAGTTCCCTGGTAGATGGAGATGGCCCTTGTCCATGTAAAGGTGAGTGAGATCGAATTGGTTCCATATGATGATCGTAACTGGGGATCATGTTTTGGTCGAGACCTTGATTCATGGTATGATATGGGTAGGCCATTGGGGATATCTGATTTGGATTTCCTCTTGAAAAGTTGTGATGTGGTAAATCGGCCATACTCCAGGGACTGGACTTGGAGCTGAATGGACCTTGAACAGAGACTGCCATCAATCGAGGCTATCTTCGCGTATAAAGTCGAGTGCCAGTGAATATCTTCCTTCAAAAAAATAACTGTTTGTCGCCAAAACTAAACTTTTCCACGACTCCGACGATAGTTGATACCACCAAGAAGGAAAAGTTTTATCTCTGAAGATCAGGGTATAATTATACAAACATTCACTACTTGATGCTTTTCGAATCTAGTTAAAAGATACCCCAAAGGTGGATTGAATCCGAAGGAGCGAGCTGACAACGGAATTGCGTTTGATGAAATCGAATTAAGAAGGCTGCGGCACTTTCTATTGGCGTCGAAGATTGGTCTGGGGACAGTCGAGCGGCAAGAAAACGCATTAAATCCAGTTGCGCATCGATTTCAGGGACTTCACGAGCCCATTATTATTGATCCTCAAGTATGTAATATGCAGGAGGATAGGTGAATCGAAGGGAATCTGTGGCTTGAGGTGTGGTAGAAAGAACTGACTACTTGTGCCAGGTAATTCCAAGCGGAGAGAAACAATGCTTCTTGGGGAAACTAAGCAGCCCGTGGGAGTTGAATAGCCCTGACGACGAATGAGAGAAGAGAAATTCACGCCACAAGAGGACAGTCTAGAAATTCTATTTTTTAGGGTTGGACGTTGAGATATTGGAAGTTATAAACGATGATTACAATTCTTCAACAGCGAGTTTGTGGCCAAGAAAATGGTCGTTAAGAAATGAGAGAGAAAAGAGGGAAAGAAGTATGACAAGTCTAAACAATTGTTGATTGACGTTGGTTCTTTCGAGAACGATTTAAGATGTGTGGCAAGGAAGATGGCAAAGCTTTCTTCAGGAAGTATAATCTACACAAAGGGATCAACAAATCTTTCTGGAGCATGCGACGACACCAACCAGCAGCTCCACCCCCTGGGCATTGGCAACCCGGATCAAAATGAATGCCTGTCAGCTCCAGCTCCATCTACAGCCCTAGCATGCCTTACTATGTACCTGGTATCCTGGTATCCTTGTTCTTCTGGCGCCATCGTTTCTATTCTGATGTCCTACCTAGTCCATATTCTACTAAACGTCGATGGTTATCTTGGTCCGCTAAAGCATATTGCACACTCATAGGACATTATCATACTAGGACTAATAGTGTTAAATCTCAAGAGAGACAATGCTCATTGTGGCTCGACAAAGGAAGGCTCTAGAGTGGAAGTATACCATGATGGGACCAACCCCGGTGAGATTTGGATCATCTTGGGGAATGCAACAAGATTCGGAAGCAATTGCGAGAGCTTTTAGCTAACAAAGAATAATGACCCATTTATTCGGTAATTATTCTTGGGATCTACCATGCGTGGATTGGCTATATTGATATAATGTGGAGAGTGGGCTTTCTTTCGTTCGTCGGGGGTGAATTGGAATTTGGAAAGTTCATCAATAGAGTTTGTCGTGCATACCAAAAGGTTTCTCGCATATTCATTGAACAAGGTATTTTCCTGCTTTTTCCTGGTCCACTAACTACAGAAGCTACAAAACTCATCCTTCTACAAGTCAATTCACCTAGGGATTGGTCTTGAAAGCTGTTATGGGCTAACAGTTGGCGGGTACCGCCGCTTAATAGCCTGACAAACCTGTCAAGTGCGACCGATAGTCCATATTTGGTGCTGACGACTCGCGCGAATCGGCGAGCTTCATAGCTATTTTGTTCGATAGTACAGTATTGCATTATCAAACGTTAGTATGCAGCCACACCAATAAATTTGAATTGTCTCTAAGGAGCGTGACGAGCCTAAGTTGTAAACCATATACGCCCTGGCTCCTGACTACCTACTGCTCGAGCGAAGATTACTCACAGTTTTCTTCAAGCGATGAATATGTTCCGTACATATTTAAAGAAAATTTGACAGCGGTTGATATGTTTCCTATGGTTACACTCTTCCTTCATTGATCTTCCTACAACGCCGAGTGACGATGATTTGCAAAATGCATCGACGCTCCTTGTAAAAACAATTTAATGAAATCCAGATCCGAAGAGTAGTTCAAGTCTTTGAGATGGATGCACATCTAGTTCCGCACTGTCGTGGATTTACCTCTCCACACAATGGCACACATTCAACCCACCCTCTCAATCCAAGCCCCTTGACCCTTGAAACTTTTGGTAGTACCAAGGTCCGAATGAAGTAATACCTAGGTATCATTCGGAACTACTTGTGTTCTCAGAGAATACGATGTATTTTCCTGTTATTTTTCTTACATTTTTGCGTACCAACACTTTAACTTTCTCCTAGATCCGATACCAGCGTACTATCAAATCAACCTCCCAAATCAGAAACCCCAACTCAGCTACTTCAGATCGGGTATTACCAAGAGCATGAAATGGGTAAAAGGTAAATGGCTCTTGGCCTGTCCACCGCCATCTTCCATTCCAGAGATTGCATCTTGTCCTCATTATCAATTTTAGCTGTCTTTGTGTATCCCTTCTAAGTTTCAACGAAATGCTATGAGGGAAACAGCCCCGGTTCTAGTCTCCGAGCGTGTCAGCGGCTGGGCTCGTTTGGAGATTACGGAGCAAAGGTATTGCATGGATCATAAACACCCCTAACCTCACCAGACATTTCAATAGGATCTTCAGAGTCTCCATAGTGGCCGAAGCCTTGACCATTTGTTGCTGTCGATCAATCTAAGCAATCATGATCTTCTAATTTGCTGGGTTCATTTGACTTCATTTTCTCAGGGTTCATGGTATGAAGTTGGGTCGTGATTTTATGGTAGTGATATGGATGTGCCCGGTGTGGTAGCACAGCCGTGATGTTCTAGCAAATGCACACCTCTACACGTGGAAATTTCCTTTTTCTTGGTTTAAATTTCATGCAATACACCTGTACTGTACATCATTCAGCCTACATTCGGTATAGCCATGTTGCACTTCAGTGATGCACACAATACACAATTCATTATCTGGTAAAATGGAACATACCTAATCATTATGGTTTAGAATTTTTCAGAAAAAGGCTTTTAAGTTTTAAATCACCTTGAAGCCTGTATGAAGCCTCCAATCTACTTCGTAATATTGATACATGCGTCGTCACAAGCGAGCACAATATTGAAGATCCTTCTAAGCTACTTTCCATGATACTGTAGTCCGATCCCTCATCCAAGCTCTCGGATTCTCACACCCGGAAACTATCACCCATTGTGAAAATTCACGGCTATTACTTTACTCGTATGCTTCGTATTTTTCCTACACTATCTCGAAACTCTTGATGGGATGGGCTGTGAACAATTATACTTGTAATTTACCACTATGCTCATTTCATTAATTCCGGATTCAATATTGCTACAATATTTCGCAACTGATCGCCGATGATTCGAAGACCTGCTCAATCAAATCGATGCATGCATGATATTACAATATGTCGTATGTACACATAAAACATTAACGGACTTATTTATAGGATTGTTCGAGTATTGCGTTGTACAGGCACATGCAGACAGCCACGGCAACCACCACACCACACACCTCGGCCATTGAACCATTCTATGGGGTTGCATGAAGCATGAAAAGCGTGTTTTGCTCGTGGGTACCTTTCTTCAGGAACAATCTGAACGGGAGGTTTGTCTTGGAGGGGAAGTCAAAACCGTTGAGTATCATACTCGAATCCATCACATTTTTTTAGACACAGGATGAACCCCATATGAAGAAAAGCGTTGTGATGTTATTTTTCCCTTTCCCGAGCCCATCTGGAACTCTGTCACTAAAAACCCACCTGCACAAAAAAAAAAGTCAACAGAACGCCATTGTCGGAAGGACAGCTTCGGCTTTCTCTATACACTCAGCTCAATAGATACTAGGTAATGGCAATAATTTATATCATCCGACCAAAATTACCAAGTTCAGCAATATTCAGCAAGATTCAATGATTTATTTTTCAATATAGAATCAAAGCGATGGCCGGATCGTCGCCTATTCGTGGGGTTTTGGTGGATTGGTGGGTTTTTGACTGAGTTGTGGGTTCTAGTCGAACTGAGATGAAAAGTGGGAGAAAAGATGCAGCTCGCAGCTTTCTTACTCGTGCGTCATGACCACCATATGTGGGGAGAATTTCTTCGCCGTCAGCAATACTCTGTGAAAACCTTCAAACGAGGCAAACGAAGAATTCCAATGCAACATCAATAATCATACCACATACACAATCATATCACACTGACTGTACTGTACAATCTGTACGAGATCACATCGGCATACACGATTACCAATCTGTCGTTGAATGTATATAATCGATATATTTGATAACGAACGATATCTTGGTCTTAGTGGATAGCGAGCGACCATTGCGAGGACAAAAGGTCTAAATAGCCGATGCTACCTACCTGAGACCACTTCTAGGTTTTCCACATGGCATGCATGTTACAGGCTTAGGCCTCCGAAGCCACGATGATGATACACACTATTGTACTTCGTAATATCCATCAATTTAATCTACTTAGACATCAAATAATCTTCGGCTTTTGGTGGTAACACTCATATTCTCACACTAGGGAGCCATCGAGAAGTTTCAAGCGACAAATTCCAAGGATTTTCGTCTTTCTGACCATCTAGATGGTTACAACGACCGAGAAAATCTCCGACCACATGGTCAAGGAGAGCAAGCCTGAGAAAAACGGAGAACAAGGACCCCAAGAAACAAATCAATTTCATTTCAGCCTCCCAGAAAGTCATCTTGTATATTGAACTAATACAATCCAACACATTTCCCATGCCCAAAAGGAGGCGTATAAAATCTGCAGTTGGTCAGCAGTGGGTTCTGCTTTCATTGGATTTCAGCTCCCTTTGAAACAAGAGGCGTGGGAGATCATGCCTATTTGCAGAAGGTCAAGATGAACCTTCCTTCAAAATTCTTATATTATTGTAGACTAATGGACATGGCCTGTCTCCTCTTTGTCCCTGTCTTGTTACTTCCCTGGTATCCTTGACTACCATGAGACTGAGAGTCTGCAACGATGGCCAGGTGTGAATGGATTCTAGAAAAATTGCCTAATCGTCGATCTTTTCACGGTTGCGGCTTCCTCCCGCATGCCAGAATCCATAAAGGAATTTTACGATGCTAAATTCAGTTTAAGACATACACGGAACCCCTGGAGATCACCAACATCCTTATTTCCTCGATACCTTCTCAGAAGGTCTTTGCATTCTTCCGTGACAGAAAGGGAAATCTTGTGGCTTCTCGAGGCTCATTTGTTTCCTTTCCAGTATCTCTCATCTTGCCCCAATTTCCCTTTCCGTCACCTTACCTTTGATCTCCTCGGTCCGATCTTACATGACGAGCCGAGAGAGACATATCAACAAATCTTATAGTCATGGATAAGTTTTGACTGTAGCAGTACAAGGATTCTACTCCATAATGAAGAGCTAACCTTGAAATGCTTCAATTTATAACAAACATCCAAGAACACCATCGGATCTTACACCGGCACATTGTGATGTATAAAATTCACTCAACGATCACTCGCTACGGATTATAAAAACCTCGACGTTCGAACTGGGGCCTTCCGGTAACGGGGATTCCATTGGTGAAGATATTTTGAAGCTTGCTGTGCAAGGCCTAGATTAAATGCTTAAACTGCTGCCTGAATGCGAGGTCAAGGATTACAAGGTTCAATCACGCCCACTTGTTACCAGCTACTCCTTTCTTGAATATTCAACATGCGTTTTTAACGTATTTTGACCAGTCTCAAAGTCACAGCGACCTGATTTCCTGTCACAGGACATACGGTTACAATTGCCAATCTTCTAATACACTATATATAGATTCAAAATTGGGGCGACAGCGTTGTTCAGCCTGCCTTGCAATCGAATCGAGGAGGCGAAAAGGTGCTCGACCAGCCATACGGTGTGCTACATCGCGGAATGTGGAACGCGGCTGCTTCCAAACGATTCATCTTCTATACATCTAGCTATCATTTGATGGTGTAAAAGTATTAGATGAAGGATCCAGCTTCAACGGTAAGCCCTATCGCAGCCCCAAATGAGCGATGAATCCGTAGAGAAGATGACGGCTGGAAAGATAAGTAGAGGGAAACACTAGGTGATGAACTTCTTCAATGATGTGATGCGCAGATGTGAACGTGCGTAGACGTCACAATTTCAATAGAGGTTGATTCGTTGGCGGGGTCTCAAGCCCCTTAAGACGCCATGCAATCTCATGGCAGCAAATGATTCTCCCTTCTATATGGTGGGTTTTCTCGAACAATGCTCCTATGTCCTGGCAGGAAAGGTTCGAAGGACACACAGTGAAGTTTTAGACATGTTGAATCTCATAGAGGTCATTTTGATCCTGCAAGACACCCCCTTCGAAACACTGTCTCGATTACCATTGCACTTGTGCATCTCCATTAATAGCTTTCATGTCGACTTCTTCAATGTCTGAAAGTTCTGTCACTTCACAGGTTCAAATGCAAATATGCCCTTAGTCGTACGAAGAATTTTGGAGCTGTGAGGAGAGGGAAGTAGCTTGTTTATTGTCTGATCGCTAAGCCAGCGATGTAGGGGAGAGAGTAGCTGGAGCTTATATTCTTCTCAATGATTATGTACGACATCACTCTTTTGATTCGTTCGACGTTGCATCATTATGCGCTTTGAGTTTGAAAGGACTCGTAGTCTTGCAGATGTCTTGGAGGGTTTCATTCCTCCGCTTTTTCAAGTTTCCCATGAAGGATCTCAAGACTTTCTGTGTACATCCAAGCTAGCGCCTCTGTCGTTCAAGCATTATTTATGCAAGATTAAGTGAAGGTAAGAGGAATACAAAATTAAGTGTTAAGTTATGACTCCGCTACTATCTTTCATCATCATCTTCCTAGTGCTGTACTTCCATTCTACCATTGCTTTAAACCCTTCGACAGATATCTCACAATACATTAGTTGGGCTAGACGTTATAATGGAAAGAAATTTGACACTCTGAGATGGTGTATTGAATGGAGGATATAAACAACCTAGGTACTTTGCATTGCTGAGATTCGCATTTGTGCGACACTTCTGACGTCTCTGATGCCAAAACGCAACACAAGTCGTACTATCCACCTACTGATTGTTCTCTATCTTCAAAATTCACTTCACTCAATACAATAAGATGGGTATAAGGTCCGCTGTAGGGTTTCACGTCGAGGCCTAAGTTAGACAACAGATAATCTCTATACGGTGCCCTCGTTATGAACTCAAACGAATAGAAGTGAATGGAGACTACTCAGTCAGACGGAAGCCTATTTGGAGACCCAAAGCATCCAGTAGATTACTTCCCAGTTGTTCCCCGAGCTGCGAGTTATTATATTCTTCTCATCTGATTTGCGCTCAGATCGAAGGGGGCAATATGAGGACCAGGATCTCAACATCATTGAATATACTCTGAATAGATGACCCGATCAAGAGAGGTTTCTGGGGTTTGAGAGGGTCTTGTTGCGTATCTGCCTACTCAGTGACATGCCCATTTGTGTATCTTATAGGGCCATCAATACTAGTGTAAATATACAGGTGTCAAAATGGATGGAATGATGATAGATAAGACGCTCTTGTGTGGATATATCGGGATTTCATGCCATGCGAGTTTAAATCTTCATTATCTAACGTTAAGATATACAAACCGTCAAGCTTCAAATTTCTCAAGAGCTTTTCTAGGTTTTAAAGAGGATGCCTTGTTTACATCCTTAAAGCAGTATAATCATGAGACTCTAGTTTTGTAGAAGTATTGAATATCAATATTTTGACTCTTTCCTTGATTATATGTCAGTATTATCAGTGTCAACTGACTACCCCTCCTCAAATCTCAAATCCAACCTTTCGATATCTTCCCACACCTCTATCCTTCACCTCTCTTCACATCTAGAACCCCGCCCCAGCAAATCCAGACCTAGCTCTCAACAGAATCAGAATATCCTCATCATTCTTGCTATACCTCCATCGTCAACGAAAACTTCACCGAAATCTCACTCGGGAAGTTGGACTTCTATATAGATTCAAATCTTCAGATCCTATGACTGTTAGCCATCAAATTTCTAATCCTATAAGCATTATTTCTCATTCCCATTCCCATTTCTCATCCCAAATCCACAATATACTCATCCCAATCGATCCTCAACCCCTCCTCCAATCTACAATACACCTTACTCCATCCACAATCTGTTTCGAGATACAAGAATCCCACAATCATCACAGACTACTCATCTTCCGTACTTTAATCTATACTAATTCTCTCATACCCCACTCTCCCCCTCCCAAAATTCCCATCTCTTTCTTTCTCATCCACACCAACAGAGCAACACCTATTTCGTTTCATTCCCTCCCCTCCCCTCCCCTCCATAAACGTATGCTCCCCGCTATACACATCGATACAAATACCAAAACCATCCCTTATATAACTCAAACTCACAACCCTAATTGAAGACTATACTACCCCATTCTTCCGAATCGACATCGACACAAGGTTGCAAAGTATATGTATCTACCTAGATACTTGATAAGGTTATAGATCCACAAACATGTAATCGTGAATAAAACACTACCCCTTCCCCCTTCTCCTTCTCATTCATCCACTCACCATCCACTCACCATCCACTCACTTCTCCCTCTAGAGAATCGGGAGGTTGGCATATACGATCTTAGATGGTTTTGGATTTGAGATCCTGAAGTAGGTGTGGAACAATTCAAGGATTTGAGAGAGAGGGAGAGGAGGGGTAGATAGGGACGAGGTGTAGATAGGGGATGAAGGGGGTGGAGGGGTGAGGGTGTGGTGGAGAGGGGAGAGGGGAGGGTGTAAAATGAAGGGGAGAATCTGGTGAATAGTTTCTGTTTAAGTGAGAGGTAACTCTGCGAGCCCTCTACTTTCTTCTGGCCTTCACAATAGATTTATTTCAAATATCGAATGAGAAAGTCCCGATAAAAATCCAGACAAGAAATTTCTTTCAAGTCATCTCTTATTATTCTATTGAAATCTAATGTTTCCCTCTCTTGTGTCTATATTTCTATACACGACAAAACTTCAACCGGTGTCTACTAACACGGCTCGAGTTTAAATTCATCTAACCCCTCTCAAAACACCAGATCAAAAACCTGTCTCATTTTCCCAAGTATTCAATAGCTAAACCATATCTCTTACATTCCCAGCGGGCCCCATACCCATAGAAGAATATCTAGAGTTTACCAAAGTCCTTACATTATCACACCTGGGCCTCAACGGCCACTCCCTATTCTCAAAGACATCGTTTGTTAAAGTCCTCATACTCATACTCCCACTCCCACTCCCACTCCCAAGAGGTCACTGCATCTCCTCTGTTTCCGTTATCGACTTTGTCTTGCTTCTCATCTCAAACTGCATACCCTGTATACTCTCATCCGGAGGCTCTTCAACCGTAACACTCTTCAACCGCAACATGTACCCCCACTTTCTTCTCTCTCTTATCACTCCGTTATCCCTCACAACAGAACTCCTCTTCCATCTCTCTGATTCTCTTATCCCAAAACCCGACATCCTCAAACCCCCCAGCACGACCACGCTCCCCATTCTCCCTTTCCCCATGCCAATTATACTTCTAGAGCTTCTAGCACTATCAAACAAAGTACTGCAAGTGAACGACGTAAAACTCGAAACCCTCGAATCTTCATCAAAAGCCGTATATGTAGAATTTGAATTTCGATATGTTGAAGCTTGTTTATTGGCCATGAGATTGATATTATATATATATAATCTGGTCTTTCGGTATAAGTAGTTCTATATGGTTGGATTTGACCCCGAGGTTCAATGGGATAAAGTGAAGAGAAGGCTTGGGGAAAGAAGAGACGGAGAACAAGGCGGGGAGTCGCGCCACTGAATGCAATTATTTGGAGACCGGGCTCGATGGTGGACCACTAAATAAGAATTAGTATGAAGACATTAAAACATGGTTGAAATATCGCAGATGCACGTACGATAGCTATATCTGTGGTTGCGTATAGAAAATCATCCGTGATCGGCAGGCCTTTGATAAAAGGTATGCGTATTATCGTTGCGATTCCGGCTCTAATTTGTATATCAGAATCTTTTCATGATTTATATTTTTGACAACGACTTACAGTAAACCAAGAGAAAGAACGCCGGAAATAGAGAGTTTGGCCTTCACACTCATCTTCGAATCCCACATAATCCAGATAGGCAAGAGATCAAGTGTCCAGTCCACAGTAAATCCTACGACGGAATGTCCTACGCTGGCTGCTGGAACTATACTACTATCTATGCAGAATCCTGTTGCACTCTCATATTGCTTCCAGGAAATAGTCAAATGGGGTGCATTCACAAACAACGAGAACAATGAAAATTATGGTAAAAGTAATGACAGGAGCTTGGGTCGCGTAGATGATGCTCTCATGTAGTGAGCGAGTAGACAATCTGAGAAGGAATACAGAGATGGAAAGGCGAACCAAAAGAGTTGTGAGGGCATAAAGGCTTCTGAGCAATGAGTTAACGATGGTTCAGGAGTCGGCCTCTAAGTCAGAATGTAACAATGCAAAATGGCAAGTTTCCTCGACAAGAAATCTGGTCAACTTACTCATCAAACCACCATGCCTGAAGAGCTCTGGGGAGATCTTCACGTGAACTCTGATCGGTGTGTTGTCCACCCCTAAATCTTACAGATTGCAATACTGCTGCGCCATAGAGAGTGTATAGAAAATGATTATCTTAGTCAAGTGAAAGAATTTTGAAGGAAGAACTTACGTGTGACATCGTAAGCAAATAATCATCAAAACTCCAAGATTTCGTTATAAATAAACGGACGATGACTCTAAGGGAAACGAACAGCCACGAAAGTCCCACAAAGACACAAAGAATCACAGCTGAACAACATTTAGCCTTGATGAAAATCATTCATCGCGCCGTGATGTAAAGTCACCGATTTCAGGACCTCGATCTTCCGCCAATATATAACAGTGAACGACGAGCCCAGATATCACAATCGATTATGTTTGAAGACATCAATTCTCCGCAACAGACCATATTGTTCATGGAACTTAATGACATTTACATGTATTCATATCGAGAAATCCCACCTAAAAAACGGGATGAATGTACTAGAAGTTTTCTCCATATCTATACATATGCATGCAACTTCGTGCATTCGGTCATTGCTATCCAGTATGGTATTTTGCTAAAGACTCTTCGCAAGTGGATATATAACTACCATCACACTTAATAAAGGTAAGATCTTCAGGTACGCGTGAATGACGTTTGTGATTCGATGAAAAAAGTTTGGTTTGACTTTAGTACACGAGCTAATGCCGGTAGGAAGCTAAGGTACCAAGCGAGACGGAAAGATGGACATACATTTTGTAATCGGGAAGTCTATTAACGCCACAGAGCTATAGTAGTGAATACGAGAGGCCCATTGGACTTGAATTTATTGAGGAGCAAGAGAAGATTTGAATGCACAGAAGAAATGTGGGGGTGCGGTTCGCGCAAAATTGGCTTTAAGATTGACTTGACGATCGAACTACCAACTCCACGCACTCTTATGGACTGTGTACTCTAGTAGTGCTCCCCACAGTTGAAGCGAAAAGGCACCAAATGAGTTGCAGATGTCCGTCATTGAGACAACTTGCGTAGAGATCCAAAACGAACGACACCAAATTGGCATGCATCATACCCCCGGTGAAGGGTATGGTCGTCGAAATGACGCACGCCTACTACGTACGATTGTTTGATTATCCTGCGACTTTGGTTCCTTAGGCTGACACGGATTTGGAAGCGGTTGATAAGTCTTCGCGGCTAATGAATTGGGGGAGAGGCGTGCCGTAGGCTTGCGGAGCATATACCGAGGCTTTCAACGCTCGGGAGACGGGCCCATGGGAGTAGCAAACAAGACTCTCCGGCTGTTTGAACTTTATTCTTCATTTAGATTGTAACGTTCTAGGTGGAAATGACTGCCGACCAAGATTGAATTTGCGATAAAAGCATCCAAGTCTTGGCTAAAAGTGGCCGAGTTCCCGTCCCAAATTTATTAAATTTTGAGACTACCTTGGAGTGGAATATTTCCTCCGGACAACCTCCACCCTAAGCTTCTCCTCAAAAAATATGCTTGCTGTCTATTACCCGAGTCCATCAAGTTGCAACGGTTTGTCATGGTTGTTGGAACTTTCGGGCGCATGATGGCAGTTCCATTTTTAGCCCTCTGATTTGTTGATAGTAGCTAGGTGATATGATCTCACTTTATGAACAATCCCATTCATAAAATCCAACATAGTAAGCATCAAAAAGTGGGACTACTTTCGTACATGCCATATAACCCGGATTCTGTGGATCGCTGTAACATATGAAAACAAAACTTATTCTAGAGTCACTGAGTCTAGATTATTTGGATTCATGAACGGCAAGAAAAAGCTTGTTCTGGAAGGCGTCCGAGATATTCATTTGTGTATTTCCTCGGTTCGCTTAGGGGTCAAGGTGGTGTGGGAGGCTTTGGAGGAGGTGGATGTATTAGAGAAGGTATAATTGTTGTTTCGGACGAGACTACAATGAGGGGCGAGGTCTGACTCTCAGATCTAGAGGTATCATATCGTGTAAGATTATGATGAACCTGCGAGGGAACTTCAAGGGTATCTCGGCGTGCCCTTGTCTTATCACCGTTTGCTGGCGAAGGAGAGAATTGGGACGTTAGCGACTGAGGTGACGAGGGTTCGACAGTCCCTGCGCCACACTCAATGTCAAGCCCCGAGATAATACTACCATTTATGCTCGGTGCTCGAGAAGGACGCAGAATGGGAGTGATATTTCCATCGGCATCGCGGGTTTGATTGTACGCTTCCCTTATATGTGGAAGCTTTGGATTTCGCTGATCTTCTCCAGGGATTTCTGGAAAGTCAACAGCCTTTCCATGTTTGAATTCGGAGTCGTCTAGACGGAATTCCGCCGCAGTACCGACATAGTTACCGATCGCAGTTAAAACATTGGCTACTTTCCGTCTGTTTCCCACGTCTGATGGCGACTTGGTCAGGCCAAGTGAAGGCCGGTTACTTGAAGTTTGCGCTATCTCGTGATGCTCTATCTCGTGAGAAGTTCTTCCACTGCTATTCGAAAGGCTTTGACGCATTATTTCATTGGCACCTGGAGATGGCTCTGGCTCTGGGGCAATGCCGAGACCAATTCCCTGCTTTTGTAGCTCGAGATGCTTTGAAGCATTGTGATATACTTCCTCTTCGTCTGCTTCTATATTTGCTGCTAAGAGACGGTATAAGGACCCAAAAACTGCTAGGCCAGTGCCGACAATGGGTGCCCATTGACCTATAAACAAGGGCAACTAGAGTCAGCAATGTATCATGTCCATATGAAGGTAGGTACGTACCGATAGTTGCTATAGGCTCAGTTTGATATGCGACTTGTTGGCTGAAAAAGTTTCTCTCCCCAAGAATGAGAATAGCCAGCACCGCTCCTACGAATACGGGAACCTCTATAGCACTTAGGAAGAATCTAATCAAGCTATTGACCTCTTTCATTTTTCCAACAGTTGCATTGTTGGTGCCCTCAATCGGCGCATCAATCGGTTCTTCTTTGTGACCGAAACGATTGTTCCAGTTTGTCTCACGGATTTTATTCCACATAGACACAAGTGAGAGTATAGCAGGAATGCAGCATGCGGCCGAGAGAAGAGTAACAGTGTCGAAGGTGAGCTTGTTTGGTGCGGGAATGACGTAGATATTATTCGCTGAGCCGCCACGCATCGGGGAGAAAGGACCAGAGATGACATCACACGTAAGACCACATGTCGAGTCATAGGTAAAATTTCCTAGAGTGAAGTAGGCTGGATGTCCGTCACCATCGGTCAAGCAAGGACTTGTGTTTATCCTAATGAATTCCACAGTTAAACTCAACAGACCTTGTAAGGAGATTGGATATTAGCAGATACTCATGAAACTTGAAGATTGATACTTACCAGCGAATATCAATCCAGTCCATAAAAAGATGGTATTTCGGCCAGGTGTTTCAAAAAAGTATGTTCGTGATAGCTTTACAGTTATCGGTGCAGCTAGAACACCTATGGAGCATAGTTGGAAAGCTCCGTATATGTCCATATCAACCGCACCTAAATCATGATCTGTCAAACAAACGGGACTGTTTTTCTTTCAAGAAGGTACTCACCATCCACATGGACAGCTGCAAGGACTATTCCATGAAGTGCAGCAACGGCGGGGAAAAGCAATGCAGCTGCCAAACAAGCTTCTTTCAGCCATTGTTGTTTTCGAAGAAAAACACATGCTGCTACGAGAACATAGTATCTGTAGAAGGAAGAATTTAGAAGTTAGGAGCCTGGCGCTTTTTTGCAGTATTTTTCATAGAGTGGAGTGGATTTTCTGGGGAGACTGGTAGTGAGTTGGAGAAGCTTACAGAACCCGGGAACCTGGCCCATACTGACCAGATACAGGCCATGCGCATACGACTTGCAATGCATCACTTGTAGCATTTGTGACGGTGTTATTATTGGCTATTGTAGTATTCAATGAGGTCAAAGGGATCGCCGGCATGACCTTGTGTCTCCTTTCGAACGAGATGAATTCATCGGCTTGCAAGCAAGTCAACGATAGTACTAGATATCCTTAGGGCAATTGAACATGCATCGAAATCTCTCCTCTCTTGTATGGAATATGAGAAGAAGAGAAGCGTTGGACGTTCTTAAGGCTAAATAAGCTTACCGGCCAAGAAAGCAATGAATGTCTTGGAGGCAATTGTATTTACGGCGTCATCCGTCATCCACTGTCAGAGGTACCTAGGTAAGATTGACTGGTGGCAGCTCTGTAGCCTCATCGTTCTCAAAAGTAGGGCTGGTGTGGCTGAGGGCTTGGTATCCCTTGGAGGTAATTCGTAATCAAGCAGATCAAGGGGTACAAAGTGTAAAGAACGGTAGAGCTGAAGTTTCCATATCTACCGGGGTAAACAATGTATGTACGTACGTACATACGAGTAGATGCAAAGATGATGGATGGATGGTTGGTGGTTGATGGTCGAAAATGTCAAGGAATTCGGCTGCCTAAGTATCGGAAAGTTTGTTTGGAGTGATGGGGGAGAGAAAGGGTAGAAACAGGAAATGGCTTATGAAGGTGGTAGAAAATCCTGTGACTTGATTGGTTCAAATGCGAGGGTGAGGGTGATAGCAGAGGGGTACGTACATCAAAACATCAAAGAAATTATAAATTATTACATAAACCCACCGATATTAAGATGCGATGGAATACAGGATTGTGAGGTGGATTATAGAAATAGAATTCCAATACAAATAAATCATAAAAAGCGTCGAGTTTATGGCATCATATAACTTGACACGAGAAGCCCTAAATAATACTCCCTCTTTAATAATAATAAATCCGTGGATGAATTCTTTCTTTTTCTTTCTTCTCACTCATGGAGTGCGAGTAGGCACGTGACAGTTCTTATCGCTTATCGGGGTTTTTGGTGCTTTCTTTTTGTGATTGTTTCATTGGATGTATAGTCATGTAGTCAGCACGAGAATTACCCAGGCTTATTATTGCACTTTGTCTCTGGTGCAATTTGATGTTTTGATCTTTGCCCTCATTGTCAGTACAATTGTCTACCAGTATATCTACACCTGTGAATCTCCAAAAACATCTAGGGTCGCTTTTCAAAACACCATTCAGTTTCTTCCTGCGGTCTCTACTTGCCCAAGTACACTTTTACAAAGTCATAAGAAAATATTCACAGATCCACAATAGGCGTGATCAGCCTCGCCCATTCAACCAAGCCAAAGCGTGATATTCACACCAAAAGTGTTGCGAACATGGGTCAAGAAGCGTCTCAACCTCAAATCAATCCAAATGATCCTCCTCATACGCTCTCAGCCCGCTCAATCGAAGGAATTGCGGAATTCATCAAGAGTGGCAAAGCAAAGAACATCGTTGTCTTGACAGGAGCTGGCATATCCACTAGTGCGGGCATACCAGATTTCCGTTCACCAGAGACCGGTATATACGCCAATCTTGCCGAATTAAATCTTCCTTATGCAGAAGCCGTTTTCGATATCGACTTCTTCCGCGAAAATCCAGCTCCTTTCTATGTTCTGGCAAAAGAACTCTATCCCGGCAAATTCTACCCTACAGTATCACATGCTTTCGTTGCGTTGATCGAAAAGAAAGGATTACTCAGAATGCTTTTCACACAAAACATTGATTGTTTGGAACGTCGAGCCGGAGTCTCCTCGGAAAAGGTCATCGAAGCACATGGAAGTTTCGCTACGCAGAGGTGCATTGATTGTAAGACTGAATACCCCGACGATTTGATGAAGAAAGCTATAGAAGATGCAGACCCAGCGACTTGTTTGGTCCCACAATGTGGTGGCTTAGTTAAACCAGATATTGTGTTCTTTGGCGAACAACTACCGGAAGCCTTTCACACTCACAAAATGATCCCCGCTACTGCTGATCTGGTCATTGTGATGGGTACTAGCTTGAGTGTTCAGCCATTTGCAACATTGCCAACCCTTGCCCCCGAGACGGTTCCAAGACTACTGTTTAACATGATCTCCGTGGGAGATTTTGGCAGTAGGTTGGATGACGTAGCTGTTCTTGGTGATTGCGATAGTGGCGTCAGGAAACTAGCAGATGCCTTGGGATGGAGAGACGAATTAGAAGAATTGTGGATTTCGGTTGGAGGGAATACAAAACAAAAAGAGGCCGAAAAGGCTGAGGGAGCCAGGCTCAATATGTCAAAAGATGAACTCTTTGAAGCAGATATCAAAGAGCTAACAGGTGAAATTGATGAAGCACTAAAGTTTTCGAATAACCATACACATAGAGTAAAAGCCGATCTCCAGAAAAACTCGGCTTTAAAGTTGGCATCCCCCGCTTTAGCCCCTGAAGATATGCCGTCGCGACCACCTACAGATTTTGCTCCTGATAAGGTAAGAACTCCCTGTCTTGTGCCATAGTTCAACTGTTTGACATAGGTGAGTTTTCAACCAGCAGTACTAACTAAATATAGGGTTCGCCTCTGAAAGATATTACGGATGGAATACCACTGAAGGAAGTCACGACTGTTGTTCGATCCACTCCAATCATAGATGAGAAGGACACCGCAACTGAACCCACGCGCGTGGATATAAAGCCCACCACTGATGAGTGCGTTGAAGACTCAAGTGTTGTACTCGACGTCACTATGCCCCAAAATATGCCAAACTCTTCCAATACTACCAAGGGTCCTTGACCACAGCCACCAAACCCGCCATTCAAGACTAAGGTTAGGAGAATGACAGTGATTCTGTGATGTGATCTGAACACCAAACTTCATCTCCTCACTTCACTATTTAAAACGGTACATCCCCGTAAGATGTCGTTTACAGAGCTGGCTCTGAGGCAGGCATTTAGTACATATTTAGAAATGGAGCAAGGGAATTACTGTCAGTAAAAGCCATCTAAATGAATTAAGCTTTCATGTCAAATTGAGGATTGTGAAATCCACTCGGGTCCCATTCTCATATGCTCTCAAATCAACTAACTTTAGTTTCCCTTGGTATGTGTGTTGATGATAACCTTAAAATGTTTGATCTATTCATAGGGCTCCTTTCCATACATCAGAACTTGCTAAACATAAAGTTGGGCGTGGGAATAAATGCACAATCGAATTTTGCATCATAAACATATTTTGCAGAAGTTGCGTAGCCTTTCCGTCTCTTATTCCGTTCCAAGTCCGACTAATTAATTAGAAGAGATCAAAGCCGCCGGAAATAGAACCGTTCATTTAGAGCGGCTGCTGAAGAAAAAAAAGAGCCTTGTCACATTCTTTTGTCTCCTTTCACAAAGAAAGCTTTGTTCAACAATTTATGAACCCTGCCTCGAACACTACAGATGACAATTCATCTCTTTCTTTTCTGCACTTCAATTGAAACAACTTATGTTATTTCACGTGGCATATCGAATGTCCATGACATATCATGGCAGAAGAGAATGTCTACGATCCCGACCTTGACCAGGACCTCGAATTCTACGAAGGGCCAGATCCTGCCGAGCATATTGGGATGCCACCGGATATAAAAGCGCCCCGAAACCCCCTTGCACTTCGTGACATTGGGTTGCGGCGTCGTCGGAGACGATGGCTTGACAAGGCCTGGACGTGGAATGAACCATTGAATCCGATATATGAAGGTGTAAGAATTCTCTCAAGTCAGGGTGATTCTTTAGTAGGCCTTTGGAGAGCGGAAACGCAATTTGGGCAAAAGAATATAGTTGTGAAGCAACGTCCTTGCTCGGATCATAATTTGGAAGACCCGAGGGGACAAAAGTTGTCAGACGAGTCCAAACATTATGAGAATTTACAAGCGCTACTTCCACCTGGTCATAACCATCACATTGTGAAGCTCTTCAAGCGAGCCTGGGTAGATGAAGGGAAAACTATTTGAGCCAGGACGTAGGGCAAGTGGAAAAAATGATATTGGAATATTGTGATGGTAACCTCGATGATTTCATAAATTGGAACATTAGGCAACATACAAAGGTCTCTGAAAGAAGATCGTGGGAGATCTTTCACTGCCTTGCTCGGAGTCTACTTATCATGAAACACGGTACCGAAAATCCGGCTGATTACCGTCGACAATATGACCCTAGGGAGAACGATCTCAACATTGTCCATTTTGATCTCAATCCACAAAATATTTACATCAAGAAGTTCCCGCATCCAACAAATTCAAGAGATAGAGGCTACGTGCCTGGTTCTTTTCGACGAGCGGCTAAAATTAAGATTCCTCAGAATGAAGGATACCATCGAAAACATTGTAATTTAGGAAATGTCAATTCACGTGCCCCAGAACAATTACGCGCGCGCGATACGAGGGACACAAGACCATGGTTGCAAAGTCGGTTCACTCATCACAAGGCTGGAAAAGATAATACACTTCAATCGGTCGTCTATACATCGAAAACGAATGTCTGGCAAGTTGGTCTGATAATGTTCTGTATAATTCACTGTAAGACATCGGTGAATTGGAACGATCTTGAAGCAAAAAGAAGTCATGGTACACCTAGACTAGTTAATGGAGGGCCTACTATAATGAGTAAAACCCATGGATGGGAGAGGATGAACAGGGATCTGGGACTTCCATACAGTCGAAGCTTGCTATATGCTATCTACGAATGTCTCTTGATTGAGCCCTCGAACAGACCAGATGTTGCAACGTTGTTTGAAATCACAAGAGCTGGCCTTTCTCAGGCTAACATTGAAGCTGGCTTTCCTCCACCAGATCCGGCGGCCGCTCAGCCAGCCGCTCAACCGGCACCAGAGCCAGCAGCAGCAGCACCCGCTCCTCTTGCTCCCCGGCAAGCACCTCTTCCAGCAGCTCCTCTCGAGGAAATACGTCCTCGAGCCGCTCCTCAAAGGGCTCCCGTTTTCGCAAATCCAGAATTGGACCTTGACGCCGGACCACCAGAACCCCGTCTAGTACCTCCACCAGCACCTCTACAGCAACTTCATCATCCTCCAGCCCCCAATCAACAAGCAGCAGAACCAGCACCAGCACCTCCACAACAAGTACAACCCGACCGCCGCAACGTAAATCGAGCCGAAATTCCTGATCCCCGAGCAGTAGCACACGCCGAGGCGGACGAGCATCTTCCAGCCTACTAGCTCGAAGCCCCCGAAGGCGAAGTCATGCCGCAGCCCGAATGGGGCGAAGGCCTCGAGCGTCCCGCACCCAACTACCCCGAGCCTCCCGCATACGAAGAGTACATTCAGCCTCCCGTCGAGCCGCAACCTCAGCCCGACCCTGATATTCCACAGCCGATAAATTACTTCCCACCGAGACTCCCCGCCGCAGTCCCTCGTGCTCCTGCACCCCCACGGCCACCTCCATATCCACGTCAAAATATACTCCCTCCTCTCAATCTCCCCAGAGGTCTCCAACTTGGTCCTGATAATCCTGTACTCATGGCCGTTATACCACCCGAATACCTCCCCTCTATCCTCATCTGCCACGTAATAGAAAACGATCTCTTCCAGAGACAAGTCGGTAACATATATCTACGTGGTTTACACCCTGGCATGTCATTTTATGAGATCAAGGATATGTTGGTGGCAGAGGGATTAGGTATCGAGAGGATGAATATAAGAATTAGAGTAGACGATGGGGGAGCACAGCGAGAATTGGCGGATTGGGAGAGGAGAAGGACTTTGGGGGATGGGGTGGCGGTGTTGGTGGATTATCCGAATGGTTTGATGTTTGGGGAGTGGGGGTGGGAACCCCTTTGATGGGTATGCGGTTTGTGGTTTGTGGTTTGTATATCCCCTTGATTTTTTGGATAATGTAGCCATTAAACGATTTAGAAATGGACATGCTTGATCCATTTTGAAGCAAGGAACGCTCTTTGTTGAGCAAGGAGAAAATAGAGTTCCCGTACATTTCTTTCCTTTGATGATCATAAATTCAGAGCCAGTTGATGGTTCGCCTTGAAGTTATTGTGCAGTTATATATGCTGACAATTCTGGCATGTTAGCTGAAAGATCTCAAATATGTGCTGCGAATACAACAATTTGTCAAAAGAAATAGTGATACAACGACTTGTGTTTTGTACATGTTGATTAAGAATAGCCCTTGTTCTCATTGTTCATTCATTGGGATAATGACATTGTTCATATAGATATTCAATTTATTCTTGATATAATTCTACCGTTTTGATTATCTCATAACATATGATTCTATCATCTCAAAGTCCCAGATTTTTTAAACCACACTATGGCAAACTCAAATAATACTCCAACATCTTTGGGTAATTAGGTGTTCCAAGGCCTGTGACTGGATCCCATCTATCAATCATTAGGTTAGCACTTTATCTTTCGAACCTCTTTTCACACTAGACACATAGAAAAGAAAGTAAAAACAGAGGACTTACCCAGGCACCGCCGAAAATCCCACTGTGTCACAACCCGGATTTGTTCCATTAACAATATCATTCAACATGCTTGGATTAGCATATAATGACGGGTTCAAGAAACCAATTGGTCCCTTTCCGATATTGATTCTCTCTTCGTTAATTCGATTGATGACAGCGGAGAAAATTGGTGCACTGGCTGATGTACCGCCGCTGAGTTCAAATTCGTTTCCATTGTACATCTATTGCTCGTTAGCTAGATCACGATTTCAGGATAAGATAGGATAGACGCACAGCAATGTTATCCCCATTAGCCGCGACATCAGGAATACCCCTTCCGATTCTGTTGTAGATACCTCCGGTGGACCCTGCCAAAGCACCGATATCAGGTAATGTCTGAATGTCCTCAGTGTCATTGCTCAAGGCGCTATAAGAAGGATAGGGTGGATTATAGTCCTTGAAAAACTTTGCTACAAAACTAGCTTGGTAATCAGGGATCGGATAGATATTACTAAACCCTCCTCCGGAAGAATAATTGTTATAGTATGGATCGCCGGCAGGATCGTTGACGGCGGATTCGGGGTCATAGACGGAATTTCCGGGATAAACTTTTGTGGCGCCGACGGCTGTTACGTATGGACATGTACCGGGCCAAGTCGGGTTGAAAATATTGAGATCAGGGCCGAGACAGCCGGTTGGGCCGTCAATATTGTCCGGATAGTCTAAATCAACATGTTAGTTTCTTTTACGAGGAAAAGAAAGTTGGGCCCGAATCAGCCGATGTTTTAGACTTACTTGAGACACCGGAATCGCCTGAGGCGAAAAGGAATGATACTCCTTGGAGACCCAGTTTCATATACTCGAGACATTGTCTTTTTTGATATGAGATTGGGAGATCGGATTCTTGTCCGCCGTATGATAGTGAAATCACATTGGTGGGTGTGAAGGTACCGCACATGAGTGATCCTGCCCATCCTCCAGTAAGAGGATCTGGGTAGGCCTGGTCTAAGTATGGATCGTTACCAGTCTCATTGTAGGCAGTGTAGTTGCAGTATGACTAGAAGGTGTGAGCTTATTGGTTACTGAATTTTGATCGTAATGTTAAACTTACTCCATCTAGTGCATCTAAGAAAGTGTTGAATCCAAAAGTGTAAGTATCATTCTGATTCGCTTGTACGATATAATCGTCAACTTCATAGAGGGTGATTTGCTGTGGGTAAATAATCGGGTAAGCAAGTTGAATATCGAGGTTCGCTTCCAAACCAGCGTAATAAGGATCAGTTGTTGATTGCATTCCACCATCGATGTTTGCTGGGATTGGATGTGTGCCATTTGGAATGTGCTTTGTGAAGTTTGTGAAAAACAAATCAAGGTCATTTTGAGTGTAAAATTGGAGCTCGGACTCAAAGATACCCATGGAATTGTTTGGATGAGACAAGGTCGCAGGTGGTATTTGGTAAAGTGCAGCAACACAAGCAGGAGTGATAGCAATATCACAAGTGCTCAAACCCGTGGCATTGGTGCCATTGTAGCTGTGCTTAGCATTTCTTAGTAGCCCATGTGTATTCCTTTTGGAGATTTCATGCTCCAACATCTCAGCATTTCGCTTCAGCTTGTTCTTTGGGTGTCCAATCGGTGCAAGAAGTTTGATACCGGGACTGATGTAATCAATGTGCTTTCTGATATCCTTGGGAACGTGATATGTCTCGCATGAGGGCATAACACCACCAGTGACCGAATCTTCATACTCATGGTACTCGGTATACAGCAGATTTTCTGCTTCTTCAGCAGTCGCATAGAATGCAAACCATCCTTTGTTATCCGAATGAGTGATACGTCCGGCTGGGATACCAGAGTCAATCAACCATTTTCGAACTTCGTCTTCTGTTTGCTGAGTGGGACGGAAAGCCTCAATGACTTCTTCAGCAGTCCAGTGTTGTCCGAAATGTGGAGATGCAGGGTCGGATCTATAAAGCGCTGGTTAATTCCGAGCTTCTCCTGTCTCGATTGATGTTACTCACATCTTCACTAAATGGTCATGTCCTTTATCGAGATTGTTTTGCGTCAGGCCAATGCGCATAGGCAAAAGCTTGTGTGACTCTACACGATCTTTTTTCGACCACCTCGGGTGTAAACTTTCCCTTTTTTCGTGGACCTCCAAATGGCGTGGTACAACAATTGCACTCACTACAGGTGTGAGAGCCACCACGAGGGCAACAAGGCCGGAGATGTTCGTTCTCACCATTCTAATGAATGAGATCAATTGAGATGATGAACGGGTTCAATTCAAAAGGCTGAAGAGCTTTCTCCATGATTTATACCTTGGCAGGGACTGCTGCATCTACCCCTTCCGAGATCTGCAGACCCTAGTTCCTTGACCTTGATGCCATACTGAATGAGGCAGGTCGGAATACCACCCACGACAGGATGCATGATAGCATCCGAGTTACCCCTTGATAAGCAAGGACGTTGTTGGTTGAAGATGTAAGCTGACGTAGAATGGATTGATACCTCCTACATAGGATAGAGCTTTATGGATGAAGCTATATCTTGACCATCAATCTCGTAAGAGCTATGAGCTGGTCGAGCTGGAGCGGGGCTCTCAAGCAAACGACGTGCTTGAGATATGTATTTTGACATATCGTGGCAGATCATTTTTAGTAATCCTTCCGTTGTTCGTACAACAATGTTATGTTGTGACCAGAGCTTGAACAGGGCACTGACGATTTGCCCCACTCCTTGATAAGTGAACCTTATTATTATTATAATACCTCGATACGAGAGCAATTTATGTTGTAACGACCTTGTAAGACGTACCGCAAAGAGCCAGAGAGCTCTCCTCAAGGTCATCGATGCCGATGATGCCGGTAACACGCAACAGGCGGTCAGGAAGCCGCTTATAACAACAAAAGAATCTTGTTAAAATCTTGGTCGTGTGTAGGATAGGACGACATAGAAATAGTCATCTCAATGGGTGGCATAACGATCATTTCTTAAGTTCTCAACAACTACAGACATCTATGATTGTGTCAGACAATATCCATGGGATGGTGTTACCAGCTAGAGTCACAACTAGCTATGTAGCTCTATGATGCAAAGACATTTCCATCCATCATATATATTCACCGCAAATCGAGGAGCAGAGAGCCCCTTCATCATTATGATCTTCAAGTTGGTTTCAGTGCTCCCATTCATCAATTTTCAACAAATAGAGTTGTAGCAATTTCCGTCCCATTCCGATGAATTACACTTTCCCAATTCGTTCTCGCCCCACGTCGGATTCTCTTCAAGACTCGATCTCTCATCACAACTCAAACATCGATGATTTCTCTTGCCATGTCATGTATTCCAAGATTAACTGGTGCTAACTCGGCCGGAAATTAAAAGATTTACTTACATGTCAGGAATTTGCAAGTGCCTACTGTCCGCTTCAAAACCTTCCCGTGTCCACATCATTTTCTGTACAACTAAGGTAATACACCAATCTTCAGTACCTAATTGAATCAACGTTGACTATTCAAATTCATTTTCAATAAGTTCAAAATACTTAAGAGTGCATCATCTATGTTCAGTGAAGATATGACATGGATTGAAAAGGTTCTGGACCATCAGTTTTACCTTGTAGTAAATACCATATGAATGTTCTCTGGAAGAACAAAAATCGAGATAAAAGTTATGTTTGATTGATGATACTAGAAAGCATATCTGACAATATATACTCAATGCCTAGCCCAGGTAAGCATCACTATTCAAGAACTTCTTGACGTTTGGTCTGTCCTCCAGAGCATCTACTAATTGTACTAATCTCGGATACTCTTTCAGTCCCTTTCGTCCATCTTGAGTAAGACTCTCATCATGGAGTAATTGATATAAAGCCATATCTGCATATGTGATTTCATCGCCAATTATGAAAGGACCCTTTTTCGAAAGCTCCGAGCCCTTCAGATGTGTTTCGATTGCATTTAGGTATTTCTTCTGATCGCCTTGTTGATGTTTCGGATAATCCTCTTTTTGGTTGTCAGAGAAGAAAGCCGAAATGAACAGAGTTCGCCCTGTAAATTGTTTGTGAGTATTTTTGGAAAGGCATTTGGATAAGGGGGTTCGCTTACAATCAACAACAATATCGCAGATTGCATCGGCCCAATATTTCTCATCTTCATTCTTCCCGTCATATGCGCCTAGCAATCTTGACCAATGCCTCAGGATAGCATAACTCTGTGTCAAGATTTTTCCGTCCGGCATCTCGACCACTGGTATATTTCCCGTAGGATTTATCTCCGCAATTTTCCCATTTTTCTTATGTTCTGGCCATTCTTCGAATGTGTACCGAATATCTTTGAATGCAGCTCCTGCATCGATGAGCAACAATCGAACTACCTGACCTCGACCTCGAGATTGGAAATCGAAATAATGGATAGTAGGAATGCCGCCGATAGCTTTGTTTGCTGCACTCTCTGTGCCGTGTGTAGATGTTTGAGGCATTTCGTACGTACCTAGGTATGTAAATAGTCTTGAATATTCGAGGTAGGGGACGGCTTCGGCAATGGTATATATCGCGGGGTAGTAGGATTTAAATATCCAAACAGGAATATGGAGATATTTTGTAGCTCAACCCAGCAGTTAATAATGACCATGTTCGCAAGAGCTACTGCCCTTAGCACAAACCTTGTATTGTGATTCCAAATGCATCATCTTACTCCTACCTGTGTCGTTGAAAGGTGTCAAGCAAGCCTTCTTGTCAATCACGCCCTTCTGAAACCCTGTATTCACGATTCCAAATGCAATGTCATTGTTTTTGAACAAATGCATGTAATGCTCTGTCTCGTAGCTTTCTAGCCTCAATAGGATTAGCATCAAAGGACCAGCGGAGCCTTTGAAACTATTTTCTACAGAGTAGACAAGTCTCGATCGAGTCTTCTTGGTAATCGGCAAGTTGTAGACAAGTTGTCATTCCTTCAAAGTTGTGCTTCTGATCCGAGAGAGTATCGGATGAAATTCGGAGTGTACCTCGGATATTGTGGAACTAATTGGTTGGATTACAGACCGAACCAGCCAATCATGGTGTATAATAGCTCTGAAAAACAACTTTTTTTATATATACATATTCCAAATTTAGGCGCCGCCACCATCCAAAAATCATCTGATTTCCCTGCTGGCGCAATGGTAGCGCGCAAGACTTCTATAGAGGACTCTATCCTACATGACGAAATCTTGAAGCTACAGGTTCGAGCCCTGTGTAGGGAGTTACCCTGAGTATCATCGGTTTGAATCCGTTGCAAGAAATAACTTTTGCCCCTTCTTAAAATAAGGGAGGGGGAGCGTTGCCGATTTTTTAACATCGTTGTCTAATTTGGCTGAGAAGCAACATGCGACATAGTGGGGTAAATTTGGACTTAAATCCCTCCGCACGGACATTAGTGGAGTTCGATTGCCCTGCTAATGTTGGTTTTTATGCTTCTTTTTATCTCCTTTTATTTGTGGTTCACGAGGACCTGGTAACCTCGCCGAGATATCGCTTAGATTCACCGGGAGCTGACCGGTCCCTCCATCGCCTTGTCTCTCCTTTGTCCCGAGATTTGTCCAATTCCTTGGAGATCTGTAATTCTGTAATATGAATTCTATCTTGTCACAAGTATTGGAATGTTCGATACTGATATGGACGATATCTTTAAAGTGAGCCTAATTACCCCTTGCTAATCGGCATTATTTGATACATCAAATTCAATGTGTCCGATCACCGCCATTTTCAACTCGAAATATCTACGTGCAGTGGTACTGTTACACTGAGTGGCTGTAATTTCAAGCCCCAATAGGAAAGTCATCGAGATCCCTTGAGTTGTTATTTGTAACCGCGACATTCGCAAATATCTTACAGACAAAACAAACATTCAATGTCAGATTGGTTGAAGTCGAATATCTCCTAATCTGGTAATTTTGAGCGAGTCGTAGAGGTTGAGAAAGTTCCAGCCCTTGCCCCAGTGGCTTTTGTTGCTGGGGGAAAGTTGTCACACAATTTCAGCCAATTATAGACCGATTGAACATCCGAGAAGACTGCTGGCATCCAGAAATAACGACATTTGGGTACAATTCCGGCGTCGAAGTAGAGGTACAGAACGATACTTCACTGCCATGTTCCAGCCTACTCCTTGGTCATTGAAAGGAATTTCCATTCGAGACATGGTCATCCATGACGCGATAGGATTGATTGGCCTACAAGGCACCCAGATCAGACATTCCTCTTCACCCCGCTTTCAGTGAAGCAAATGCAGGGAATCATCTATGTACTCTCTATGTGCTATCCACCACCGATATATAATTAATTGTGCCATATTCTGATCAAGGTTGGCCAGTTTGAACAATCAACGCCTACATACAATCATCAACTACGTTGAACTCAGAACCTAATATACTGCCCTAATCTACAATTCGGCTGACGCACCGAGAGGTAAGCTAAAAGCTCCTATACACCATGAAGGACAGAAAGCTAATCGGAAGTCTAGACAATGTCCTCAATAACCAACGTCATGCGTCTCTTAAACAATGTCATCACTGGTGAATACCCAGAACATCTTCCACGTTCTAGCTCCGAAGTCATCACATTACTTAGAGAGTTGAAGTCCCGGGAGGAGGTTTACCTCTCGCATTATCGAAGAATGAAAGAGGTCACAAACCACGAGTTGAAGGAAATGTATGACTTTGTAGCAGCTTCTATCATAATGGTCACAGACATTACCAAGGAGGTCATGGAGCTGGCTTCTATCGATTCTAGGGTTAAATCATTCCATGTATACGAGGCCCTCAAAATTCTTCATCTGGCATTCGGTGCGTTTCAGAGGTTGGCCGGCAAAGTCAAAACGCTTCCCCAGCCAGAAAAAGACCGTTGCTTCGGCTACCTGGGAGGTTGCTACAACTACTCCATTCTATTTCAGAAACTCCTCTATCCCGAAGACGAATGCGATCACCTCGAAATCTACGACCAAGCTCTCAGGCATGATTTCCAATTCTGTTTCAAGATAGATACCGATCAGGATTACTCTTCGCCAGGCTCATTTCTGAGAAACGGATTTGAGAAAACGCTCAGCGCATGTATACCTCCTGCAGATCAAATACCTGTATACTGTCATTTGACAGCACAGCCCGACAAGCCGGTGTGCCCCCAGTTTTATCGGAATCCCAATTTCTATGGGCCAAGAAACCTTCGGAATCAGAATCATGAATCGAATAGAGAATATTTCAGGATGAAGGAAGATAGGGAGCGAGGGGTGTGTCACAAGAAGGCGGCGACGAATAATGATATAAGCTACAACCATGGAGGAAAAGTGGTCAAAGAATCGAAAGTACAGGTAATGCGTCGACGGAAGCGGCAGGTATGTGCGAAGATTCCCTTTCCCGTCTCAATCTACCAGAATTATCGTAATCATGTTGTACAGTCTACGTTCATGGCTAATATCAGATCAATAGACGCGCCATCTGGAGGCGCAATCTGGGTCAACACACAGAGCATCATAAGGAAAAGCCAGATTTGGGCGTTAAGTGATGAGATATACTTTATGATAATGATAATGGAGATATATGATGAACAGAATTACGAGGAACAGATACACGACGAACAATATACGACGAACTGTAGCATGATGAAATAGAATATTAGGCTTGATGGGATAGTGGAATGAATCGCTGAGATCTTTTACTTGTACAAGACAATGAATCATGAATATCTCTTTCTCTACTTACACCTCTACACGCACAATGACTGTCAATCCGTGCATGATACATCAAAATGTTCAACCATTTCTGCTGCTCAAAAGTACAAGATTCCAAACCCCAAGTTAAACAAAGCTCCGGACGTATACATCACAATTTCTATAAATACCATCTATCCGCCCCATCAACTCCGTAATTTCCACCAAGCCCAAAAAGTGACATTCCCATTCCCCGGCCAAGACCCCTTCCCTCCCCAAAAAAACCCTTTCCCAGACCTAATCGGTGAAGACCAAACTAGACCATACTAGACCCTAAAAGCATAGTCCACAACCTAGGAAAATAAATTACGAATTTAGAGCGGCTAACCCGTCAAATATTCCAGAACTCCAGTTTCAACTTTCCAACCCCTCACTTAGTCTGTCTTTCCTACCCCACTATACCCCTAATTATTCTCCCCTAGACCAGAAGCTGAACTAGAACCAAGTTTTACATTCAACGAAAAGATCCTTCCCTTCCAAAGCACGTTCAATCCCCTGCATCTGCATCTGCATCTGCATCTCCCTCCCTATCCATCCCTATCCGAATTCCAAGTCTCAATCACCACTCCATCAAGCCATAACACCACACCGGCCACCCTTTCAGAAGCCGCTGCATGATACATAACCCAGTGCATCCCACCGCATCCATCCGCAAGCTCTGCGGCTGAATTTTCCTGTTTCGCCACACAATGGCACGCATGGCGAAAAATTTCCACATGCTGATCGTATGATTGCTGTCAGGATTTCCCAGTCCGCTTGGGAATCAGGGTCACACAGTGCAGAATTTTTAAGAAGCGTGTGCAAGTGGCGTGAACGCCTCTTACACAGGATGCTGCATGGGCTTCTGCAAGTAAATACGTAGATACCGGTAGGTAGGCGCGGTAAGTGGGAAATGCGAAGAATTTTGCAGGGGTTTCTGAGGTGTTGTGTTATTCATTTCCGGGCTTCTGGACTTTAGTCATAATTGGCAGCTGACATTGGTGGGAACTTCGAAAATCACGACTGAGAATATGGAAATAGGAAATGCGGAACTATAATAACTTAAATTTGACTATCGTATGGTGGGCTATTTCAAACTTTCAACATCTGAAAAATATACCAGCGCCTGTGCTGGTAGATGACGATGAGTCCGTATGATAGGGTATCAATATCGTTTAAATTTGCTAGCTAATATTTGTTTAGAATTTAGTAGCCATCACACGTAGCCAACACAATCCTCAGGCCTGTGCTCCTCCTGGTTTTGATCAGGATTCTGATTAACATCGTGCATCTTCCTTAATCCAAGAACTTCGTCACGATAATTTCCTTTAGCAAGCTCATCCCTTAACCATTTTCCTTCCCCGCCATACAATTCTTCATATATATATGGTGGAGCCCATTTCTCCTCCTTGATCTTCTTGCTCTCATCCCTGAATTGATTTGGGATTTCAATGCCCCTTTCATGACTAAGCATGCAGTTATTTGCAGCTTCCACAATCTTCACATCATCAAATTCTTTCATGATAACGGGCAAGTTTTTCGTGTCTTCATCTTCCCAGATACAACATTGATGCTCCTGTGCGCCTGCAGTAAGAAGACAGGGACCTGCACTGCTGGGAAGTGGCCGTAATGACGAGACACAATGCTCGTGCTCCCGAATATTTTTCGTTAGGATGCATTTCCTGTTGTCGGGATGATAATGCTTCGAAGTAAAACGGAGTGACCACTCGCATTCGTCCTCTCCACTATCGCACAATTCTGTAATAGCTGACAGCTTTCTCTTCTTCTGGTATCTCTCCGACAGTATTGTAGGGTTTCTCCTAAGAAGTGGATGTGCGACCGAAAGTCTAGAATGTTCTGCGTCTTTCGCCCGACTCTCTTCGACCTGCTTTCGTGTCCAATCAAGGAGGCGTAAAGCGCAACGTATGCCTCCTCCATCCCGATCCGCTAATAACTCCATGATATCATCGCTGGGAACACGAAATTTGCTACTCTCCATGGCCAAGGAAGGAGACCCGGTGGATGATCTAGCAGTGCTTTCGAAATGACCCAAATCACTCCGAGTATCATCAAGTTCCGTTCGACGAAATTTCCTACGATCGGGTGAGGATAGGATTCTCTGTGGGTGTATGAGACTACTCTGGATCGGCCTCGGTGTTCCTTTCGACGCGAGATTCGTGATATTTTTCCAGACAGCAACCAAATCCCTAGATACCAGCCTCGGTGTAAAACTTTCATTTTCATTCAATAGCCGGGGGTCGTTCATACATGGCGAAATGTGTGGTGTGTGTAAGCTTCTTGGTAAAATACTGCAATTCGTTGCTCGAAGTAGAGACAACGTTGGGGAAATTATCTGTTGACAATCTTTTATCATGCTCTTATAGATGTGAGAAAATAGGGATCGAGCGCTGGAGGATTTCAACCACTGTTGTTCATCAGTGTTGACATTTCTTTCAGGTATTTGAATATATTTAGTCGTTGCGTGCTTTCCATCCAAATATTGACGTATGCCCCAAATCCATAGAGTAAAATTATTCCTGCCATGGAGTTTGAGCTTTCTGATATTGCCCCCAAATGTCCAAACTTCATTTTCGGGTCCGCGCATTTTTGGAAACCAACACACGTGAGAACTCGGTACTGATCCTGCTTTCATAGTTCGTAGGTTAATGACAGGAACGTCATTTTCGTAGCCATCTCCCTTGGCAGTAATGAGCAGCCAAAATCGGTCACCAGGTTGGTATTCGAATTCAGAGTCGCTTTCAATCAATGCCATGCCATGAGCATCCATCTGCGTGGCCTCCGTAGCGATCCCTGCATTTTTGTAGGCAATACTCCCATCCTTTTCGATATCTTGTACGGGCATGAAACAAACCGAATTTTCATCTTCGCCTTTGAATCGTCTCACAGGTATGTGTGACTCGTTTGCAATCTTCAGCACCGGAGACTGAACGACGACTCGATGACCTAGCTGAGCCCATTTTGAGGGCCGCGCTACAAGAACATACCGACGTCCTAGAACTTTGCAATCCATAAAGACTGCTACTATTCGAAATGCTGAAGCTTAAGCTTTTTAAAGTGGAGTATGTGGTAAACATTGAAGCGACCTCTTGACGAAATTTTGCGAATCATTCAGTATTGATTTACTTGTCATATTTCAATACCGTGTGCTAAAAGGTAACCTTCACATAGGTACCCATATTACGGGTGTGCCCTTGCATGTGGCTGAGATGCTCGCACGCATCTTTCTTAATGACCCAATGAGAACCATTTCGGCTGAAGAGCTTCTACACCGCAAAACGCGATGGCAAAAGAAATATTGAAGGAACGCTTACAAAACAAGCATTGAAAAAGCAAGTTGTTTCTTATGTATTCGCGCCAATTACCGCAAATGTGTTTCAGCCCCGCATGTGTTTTGGTTTAAGCCAGGGTATTTTTGTCTCTGGTGCTTTACTGGCTGTCTTGATTGTGAAGGTTGTCCTTGCCGTCATTTCAACATCCACCAATCTCTATTGTATTGTAGCCGCCGAACCCGTTCCGACTCTATGATTTCTTGGACTGTTCCGTACCATCACCCAGCTGCTCCCCGGTTTTGCCGAGAGCGTTCTCCCCCTTCTCTTCCTTCTCAGCAGAATACTCCTTGGGATCAATATTTAATTTAACCATCATTGCGTTTACCCACTCCTCCATTTGTTTCTCATCCTCTGGGTTTGTTTCTTGAGCGAGCAATCCCATCTTTGCCCGGTATCTTTGTCTTAGGTCACCGACCGTCGAGATATCGAAAGCCCATAGTAGTCCTCCGCTGAGCATTACGCTGATACTGGCCACATTGATAGTCGCTACACTCAATGCTTCCAATGCCTCCATGGATCCATCCACTTCATGAACCCGATTACTAGGTGTGTAGAATTTTGGCAGCATCATCTTATATTTTCGTACGAGTGCTCTGCGAGTGACAAAAGCCGAAAGACCAACGAATGCTGCACCACCCATGAATAGACCAAATTGACGCCGTGATCGTTGTGAGAAAAGTGAAGAATCTATTACCGCGGTGGGAGATTCTGGTGGGGGAGTTGTGGAGGAGGATGTGGGTTGAGATTCGGCCATGGTTGAGGGATCTTGTACGAATGCCATTAATGGATTAGGAACGGGCGCTTTCCTTACGGATCGAAAGTCTGAGCGGATGTTAAAATTCGAACGCTGCAGCAAGAGCGTTTATAGGATTTAGGAAGCTTTTCATGTTCTGAAAAATTATGCTTACGCGAATAAGGTTTAGCGTCGTTCTACAGGCGTTAGTTGTAGTGCTGTGACCTAAATTATTAGAGTTTCTCCGATTGACCTGGCCGGGCGATATATTTGTGTCAAAATCCCTATATAAATATTCAATCCAGGAAGCTTCCATATGTGAGTTGTGTTGCCTGCGAAGATCTATACTGGATGGCGTGAGAGTCCCTTCGTCAGCTAGCTAGTACTGTCATGATGATCTTTCCATTTTCATGCCAATAGAATGATCCGTAATTGTAATTGTAATTGTATCTTTGATTTGTGTATCAATTTCAACATCATTATTCGTGGGTATTATATATATTTGCTGGGTGTTCTACAAGTTTAAATTCTTTGCCTCCTATGTTGATTTACTTGGGTCCATCTACCTTCTCTTTCTCCTTTTCCGTGGCAGCCTTTGGAGATTTCAGTTCTTCGAGTTCCTTGGCCAATTTCTCTTTCTCTCTGCTCAAATCCATATCCAGGACAATTTTGACTTCCGGGCAATATTCCAGAATATGCTTTCTGCGCTCTTTATTATCCCAGACGGCTGGAATCAAGAATTTACCACTTCCTATAAGATGATAACCAAAGGGCTTCTCATACCACTGGCTTTCCACGCTGAATTTGGCTTCTACATCTGGTCCAGGCATTTTGGCAGCATTTGATGCTATGAGGCGATCGCATATCCAACGATCTTCCCACGGAGTACCGGGCTCACGAACTTCATTTTCGAGGATTTTAAGGATGGGAGGGATATGCCTGAGACTCAATCCTCCATTTCCACCTTTTACGGCCATATTCCATGGGGCACCTACCCAGGAATAATCTTTGGAAATCCAGTCTTCTATGTCATACTCAGAGGCTGCGCATATCATTGAGTCGCTTTGAAACATCAGAAGCCACTCTGCAGGAGCGAGAAAGTCCCTGTAGAAGGTCAAATCTGTAAGAGTCATGCTTATAGTCTCTTGGTCTTTGATGGCATATTTCTCGGGGAGCTCGGTAATGACTAGTTTTCCGGTCTTGACATGGCCGGAAAGAGATGAGGAAGAGGAGATCAATGCATTAGCTTCAGAGGTTCCAACGAAGCGGAAAACCCACGGTGCGGGTAACACAGATATAAAATGTGCGAGAAGAGCGGGCAAATGAGGTAAGGGCCGAGTTTCGAGAAGCAGAGCAACCCGCGTCTGGTCCAATTCAACTTTCGTCTTAGTCGAATCTGCTTTTGAGCCTGTCGAAGCTACACCGGTTGAAGGATTTGATCCTGTCGCTGTAGAATCGCCCACCACGCCCAACCCTCCTGGTGCTAGTGTGTCTAGGTGGAATTTCGATATTGATGACAAGTCGTATTGATAGTAAACAACTAACATGAGCAAACTTCTGCGAATAGTTAGAATTAATGTCTAGCGTGGTACGTTGAATATAAAGAGAAGATTCCCAGATTCCTGGGGATCAAATAATGGATCAAAATCTTCAGACAAGATTAGATCTTATCGCTGAGCGCGCAATCCCCTCCAGTGCAAGAAACGATGAACATACAAAATACCAATCGCGAAAATGAAACTCCTGTGCATCCTTCTATTCCACAGACAGGACCCCGATTCGTGTGACGGCGCCATGGTGGAAGTATTAACGAGAGTGTTTGCGAGCCCTCACAGAAGCGATATGTATCGAGAAGTATATTTTATACACATGAACTCGGAAGTCGTAGACGATGAAGGGGACGTTACGTGATATACAAAATAAACATTATGGGAAAAAAAGAGTGCGTTAGTAAAGGGGAAGTTCGTATCTGGGCTGCGCAGTATTGTGTGGATGTGATAATCTTTTGTATAGTACGCCAATCTGATGTGATGATAATGCTGGTATTATGCGCCATGTGAAATACGCTTGGGGGGCAACTTTGAATTCGAGGGGGGATATTTATGTGATTCTTCCGTAGCTTGGCACTAAATGATAGGTTAAAAGATTCAGGATTTTGTGGACAAACCACCTAGTCTGTATATTTTTGAAATTACGATTGATCTTCTTAACGATTATCCATCCTTGTTTCATCCCATATCGATGTAATTACATCAAACGAGTACGCTGATTTGGTACCCAGACTCGTATTCAGCTTACCGAGTACATACTCTTATAGGGAGTTCATGTGATATTAAAAGTCAGGAAGGCATTGATAGGAGGTATGTTATGGGTCCTTGATCTTCGAAACCACTAACTATGCTAATTCTCGAAACTGGCTGGTAAAATATCGAGAATTTGACGGTTGCAATCTCCAGATCCATCGTCTGTCTCTGGTGCTCTAATCTTTGACTTGCCAATCTTCTTATTTTAGTCTGTGGTGTTGGGACGAAATCTAGGAATAGTAGATCCAAACCCCTTGCAAACCTGCGGGGGGCTTCTGGGCTGCGTTGTGAGATTCTCTTCGACATAAACTACCATCACCCACTCTTGCCTGTTTGGATAGCTACCTAGTATTCATGCGAGACCAGTAGTAGCAGAAATCTGTCAGTTCTGGTTAATGGCACCATCTAGCAGCATTGGAACCATTGATCAACCAAAGCTTATACCAGTTCTTATATCATGAATGATGAGATCACCTACTGGTTACTTATCTTTTTCTCCACGTCAATCTTGTGCCTAGGCAAAGGTCCTACGAGTAGAAGGATTGACATACAATAGGACACTCCACATGGAATCTGCTTTCGATCCGAATGAAGAAAGGCTTGTATCGCTCTCCAGCCATTTGGTAAGTGTTTTGGGTGGTGAATCGCTGTAACTTAGCACGCTCTCATCCTGGATTGAGACCCTGAATGGGTTGAGGTGGGGTTGCAGACGCTAATGTTGTTATCATCTAACGCTAAAAAGACGTCATGGCTACGTCGACAGCCTAGAGTGCAATGCTCACATACAATTAGTTACCTCGCCAGCTTCAGATGTTCAGTGATACTCAACGAAAATCTCCTTTCATATCCCAATAATCATCAATCTTTCAACATGACCAACATCTTAATTGTAGGTGCCACTCGTGGTTTAGGTGCATCACTTGCGAACAATTACGCTTCGCAGCAATCAACAACCGTTTATGGAACCACTCGCGCTGCCACTGGCCCATCCAATCTGAGTGAAAAGATTGTATGGATTCCCAATATCGATGTCGCAGAAGAAGGAGTAGGCAGAAAATTGGTGAACCAGCTGGGTATGCTCGGAGGCGGCGGTGGAATGGTTGAGGGTGGACGAGTTACATTTGATATCGTTGTATGTCCGCTCAGTAAACTCGATTTCATTAGAAGGAGAATAGGTTGAGGGCGTTGCACAGCACCTAAATGTGACTGACTAAATCTCAGATTATCACTGCTGGATATTTTGCCACAGAAGACTTTGTCAATGGTCCAAAATGGGATGAACAAGTGAAGATGTACAGTAAGGACTTTGCAGCATCCTCATCGTGCCAGGTCTCGCGTCCGTGTATACTGACGTTGTATCCGCTAGCCACATCAGCCATCTCTCCTCCCTTCATATTCCAATCTTTGTTCCGCGCCAAAAACATCACCAAAGGTTCCAAAATCCTTCTCATCTCCTCCGAATCAGGCTCAATCACTTTGCGACACGAGAAAGAAGGTGGCGGTAATTATGGACATCATGCCTCAAAGTCCGCCCTCAACATGGTTGGAAAGCTCCTTTCGCTAGATTTGAAGGAGCATGGAATAATTGTATCGATTCTACATCCTGGATTCATGCGAACAGAGATGACAAAAGGGGTGGGATTTGATAAATATTGGGATGACGGAGGAGCAGTAACACCTGATGAAGCTGCAAAAAGCTTAGTTGAATGGACAGAGAAGCTAGACATCAGTAAGTCTGGTCAATACTGGGCACCAAGAGGTCCTAGAGATATTGGTACCGCGGATGTAACAATCGGGACGGATCTACCTACACCTCTGCAACTACCATGGTAGTGATGCTGACGGGGTTGGCACACGACGCTTTATGATGATTATGAATATTAGCGCTGCTTCATTTGTGTTCAATTTCTTAGAATTGACTATAAGTATCACAGTTTGAAACATGACAATACAAACAGATATAAAAATGAAAAGCGGTGCAAAATTTGGCATAGCGGATAATCGAGAAAATAGAAAAGGGTACGAAGAAGTTAGCTGGCTAGTGGTTTTTCTCCGAATCTTTCTCATCGCTATTATCTTCTGGAGGAAAAGTAACAAAGCAAAGTTCTAGTTTATAGCTGTGCTACTCCCGAAAACGCTCCGTATTGTGGTACTGGAAGTTTCCTTTAATTTAATCCAGTTCCGAGGTATTCGCAAAAGTTCAGAATACTTTCAAATTTCTTGTAGTTGTTCTACTCACTTCGGTAATATTCATACGCCTCTCTCCTCCTTTCGATTCCTTTCGTTAAGACTGCTTGACTTTGAGATGTTTTTACCCCAAGACTTGTCCCCTTCATGTGGGCTGAAGAGGAAGCTTGAAGTCGTCTTCCGCCTACTATGAAGGATGGTGGTTACAAAGAAGTAAAAAAAAACTGTCTGTCGATATAATCATAGGCTGTGACAAGGAAAGTACCTTGTTCATGGCTGGCGGTCAATGATACCTATCAGGCATGTCGATACCTCCTATTTGTGAATCTTGCTACCATCAGCTTGGTTGGATTTCCATTGAACCTTACACATATTACTGAATAACACAGGTGCGATGATTCATGAGTTATTTCAACACATAGCACGTATACCATTATACTAGCCTCTGATGCCGTATGAAAATTGAGCACATCTGCTTCAACTGGTCGCCCTTTTCATTTCGAGAAATATCAGATTGCGACACAGAACAGTAATGAATGACTAGGGACCGTACTTCATGTTTTTCTCAATCCCTTTTCCGAATAATCTGAGCCTGTCCACTCACACTTCTAAGCTCCACGTAATAGGACCACAGTCATTTCTCTTTCCAGAAATTCACTTGATTACAAGATCATTCGCTGCTCTAAAAACAAAAACAGTCATAAATTATGGAATTCAGTAAAGCAAATGTATATGCAATCACAGGCGCATGCTTTATATTAGTAGCCGCGATCCTTCTTTACTTTTCTTTCCGCCAACCTCGACCAAGAACAAATCTATTTTGAATCTTTTAGAATTGGGGCAACTTCCAAGACGTCCTCGACCAGCACACATTCGACAACCGAAAGTTTCACATTCAATACATACTCAGTCACCAGGGCGTTCACGTTCCGCACATACTCGACAAACGAAGCGAACGCATTCAACACATACTCGGTATCCAAGGCGAACACCCATAGCACACACTCGCGCTCCAAGACAGATATCAAGCAGCTCTGAAGTAGGAAGCAAATAAAACCATCGTATTTCTGCTGCAAAATCTTTAGAGATGCATCACAACACTAAGCAAGGTCTAATATTTCTTGCATTTTTGATTGCCTGTGGAGGAGGTATCGCTGCCTTCATCCTTTTGCGCAAGCCCCATGACGAAGATCCACATTCCGGAAAGCGTGAAATAGCGGGCATGAATCCAAACAATATTTATGCTAGGAGTCTCCCTACAGGCGCTTTGACTAATATGTATGCTGTTCTTGAGAAAAGGGAATCCCCCCGAGTTCACCCATCTCATACCCATCACAGCACGTCGTCTCAACATCGAAACAAGCATCGTTTCTTTACCCCAGAAGCAGAACTTGATGATACAGGCAGTCAAATTGTCACCATTCCTACTACTTCAGCTACATCAGCCAGTGCACAACCGTCCTCGATCTCTATTACTAGTAGTACTTCGTCTATCGATATCTACTCATCCTTCGCAGTGGAGCCCTTGAGTACTTTGTTAGCCGCAGCAGGGTTTCAAGACTCCATTCCTACGTCATCAAATCCAATTACCGAAGTTAGCATGATTTCCACAGCTCCAACGAGTTCGCAGCCTTTGGCCACTGCTGGTGGTAGACACAGCCATCTTCGTAAGTTTCGAGGTTGAGGTTATGAAGTACGCAGCTGGAATTAGGAGCTGGGAGGGATAGGAATCAAAGTTTTTTCGGTCGCACCAGGGTGGCAGAAGCTTGTGTGAAAATCAGTGATGGACTTCTTGGGAAATATGTAGATATGTGAATCTGGACGGTGCCTAGAGTAGGGGTGATGGTTCAGAGGGATTTCATAGCTCGTCGGAATTAGATATATTTGCATTGCTATTTTCTATCAAGTGTTGCAACTTTCATTGCAACCTTCATTACATCTTTCCCAAATTGAATTTTTTATGACTACTATCATCATAGTGATTCTTGTGCAATTACATCTAGTCTTCTTGCTGGGGTGATTGGAGTGCGGGGTTCTTTGAATGTATTTTCAAGAGAGGAGAGGTGGAATCGGTACTTGGAGGGGAGATGCGAATTTAGTTGTGCTGAATAGGAATCAATATTTTTAAATCGTGAAGTTAGCTACTTTACTGATATTCATACTTTGATTCATCAGCTGCCCTCTCCTTTATATACCGAATTAAACTCTAGAAGATCAATTAGGCCTCTTAGTAGCGTTTGAAACCATGTGCTTTCACTCTCCATTACAAATCTGAACATTTTCCTAAAATCTGCCCACAGTACAACACTTTACACTCCTCTACTACGATATCTTGAAAGCAGTAACTCGCAATCGAAGTTTTTCCATGAATCATGGAATGAATGATACAAGCCATTCTCATCTACCCAATTTATCAGGAGTCAACATTCTTATTTTAGGGTAGACTAATTGTTGATGTACCCCTCGAGTTCTCAATCTATTAAATTTTCAATACTATAGGATTTCATACGTTCTCAACACCACAACTTACTTCTCAAAGTCAGACTCTAACTTCTTCGTTAAGAAGCTATCACATACTACTTGTTGATTTTCTTGTCTTTCGATCTGTTCACTTGAACTCATAACACTCGTATCACTAAACCTCAAACTTTTCATCTTCGCGTCCTCGCGTCCTCGCATTCCCACATTCTCCGCCTTTAACCACCTTATCATTTGAAAACATTTTTAGATAGTCATCCCCTCAGCACTTCAGCTCACTAGATCTTGACTACTCATCATCACGCTACAACTCCAGCTCACAATCCCGCACCATATCGCTCTCCAAAAAATTATCCAATTCCACAAATCCACTCACAACGTCGAAGAGATACCTGGAAACTTCTCTCTTTCGTTTGAACTCGTGCTAGTAGTAGGCGTTATATTCATTGGAGGTATCGCCATGATACTCATGATATATAATATTGAGACTTACAGAGACAAGAAGAGAGCAAGAAAGATTCTTGTCGCCAAAGAGTTGGAGTGATTCGGATGTTTAGAGCTCGCTCGAGTCATATGTAAGAGTGGTATTAGTCACTTTTAGGAGTCATTTGAAGGCAGTTCTTCGTAGCCGAATTCTAGTCGAAGAATTAGGAGCCACTCGTTTCTTGAAGGCTATTGATACTTTCAGACCCTCTGAGGGCTTCAAAATACACCAATACTTCCTTCAACAACTTTCAAAACTGCGACTCTCAGGATTCAAAGTCCGGCATTCTTCCATACGATACTGCTTAACCAATATACATCTCAACATTCAGTTCACTTAGCTTGGTACTCTCACATAATTCGATTTTGAAGTTTCGCCGCCTTCACAATATCCCCACCTCACACTCCTGCCTTGACAGATTTTGCACTCTTCGCTAGATTTCGCTTCACAGTAGTTACATCAAAAGTTTAAGTCAAAGTTTCACGAACAGCAGTCATTTACCAAAAACCCACCACTCCCTCACATGAGCTCCTCAAAATCCAAGTCAGATACCACCCCCCCCTCCCCAAGAACCAACCCGAACGTGCCCAAATGCGAAATTCAACGCCATTAATCTATACCAAGTCAGACTGACAGCATGCAGAATTCAGTCTTGCTGCCAAGCATGCCGGAGACGCGATGATGATCGGAGCTGGAGAAATAATTACCGTGGTAAACCGCGTCGGGCTGGGTTGTACCGTAGACTTTGGCTCTATTCGAAGAGCAAGAATGTCTTAAATTCATAGCTCTTAGTGTTGGAGGCGGTTTTGCTTGTTGGGGTTTGATACGAGGATCAGATTGGCGATGTGTTTGGCTATGATATCTTCGATGAAGAACAGAATATTGAAGTTGGGTGTTTGGATTTGTGGAGATCGTGTTCCTTTTGTATTGTTTGCGTGATGTTTAGAAAACGGTGGTTGAGCATCAAGATATGCTTTTGGGAAAGCCAAATGGGGATTTTGAGAGGACTTCTTGTGTTTGGTAGATGCTCAGATATTTAGGAATTCAAGGATTTCATGCATCGATTGATTCTTCGCTTTAATTATCGACATTATTGGCAAACAAGATTCCATATGCTTTGGAGTGTCCCTTTGAATCTATGAAACGTGATTTATAGCCTGTGAGGTTGAATTCAGATAGGTCCTCGTCCAAACCAATATCAAAAAAGACATATGGAAAATGGAGGACAACAAACATTGTGATGTAATACCATATCATAGTGAAATCGAAATAAGAGTCCTTTTGTTTTTCCATTCTCGTTTACGAGAAGCTACCTTTTTTCATGGGGATTCTAGAGTTCCTAAGGGTCATCAATGTCCCCACGCTCACACTCCATCACTCGACCCGCATTACGAATCTCGCAATTCAAGACTTCAGCATTTTATGATACTACTGCATGATGGATATCTTTTTGACGATAGATGATATACCATGTTCTTACGTCTTCACATCCTCAGGGCACCAGTCTACCTCCTCGATTCATCGAAATCCGATACATGCTTACCATCACGAACTCCTTTCACGAATATCTCATGGCAAGTCACTGAATATTACAGACTCATATTAAGCTCGCAACCAAATACACAACCAAATCTAAATACTATGTTAAAATCAGTAATTCAACCTAAATACGAAATGGAGAAGAATCTTCTTATTGGACTAGCAGTCAGAGGTGGACTTTTGTTCTATTGTCTTTCCTCATCTGCTGTTGTATGAAAAGGAATAGCGGTAGCAGGTATGGCGGTGGCGACGGTAAGTACAGCCCCGATGGTGGTGATGGTGGTTCTTAACCATGGAATTGATCCCTCGCGTCTATCTCAAATATTCCCGGGCAAGAAATACCTTGGTGCTTCTTAATCGACGGTCCACTGCGTTGGCTTCTTGTAGTACGTGTCAGAGACTACCTTTCCCTTTATGGCTTCACGTCGTTATGATACAGTAGAAAGGCAGCAGGAAGGAATTAACAAAAATTGCGCTTGAATAAAGGACATCAAAGATCAGGTTCTCTCAAACTTCATTTTGCGTTTCATTCATGTCCCGTCAAACTCACCCCATTCAAGAAACTGTTATCTCATTCGGTTTTCGGTATCCACAAACTACGAAAATGGAAGTAAGTTGCCTCGTATTGTTTTAGTTCCAGTATGCATAGTAACAGCTGTGAATCATTCGAAAATAATCATGGGTATGAGTCGTGGCGGTCCGAAAACCGTTCCATTCTGCAATTTTCTCTGGATCAGTCAAATGTCAGACGAAGATTAAAACAATCCATTAGGCCTCATCTGCCGGAATGTTGTGCGCCAAACTCTGCGGATCGCATGTACAGAGTAGTCTCGGTAGGTTTCAGAAAGTCGACTTACAGAGTACACACTTCGATGACGAAAGATTTTTCTGTGTGGGATCTTTATCTCGTTCTATTGCGTTGGAATGCATTTCTGTAGTCGAAGAATGTGGTGGTGAAGGACTTGACAAAAAGTCGCATCTCATAACCCCATCTTAGTTTCTCATAATCTAATCACTTTACATATTTTCGTATCCAGATGATTCTGCATCTCTCCAAGATCTCCGAAGATTCTTAAGAAGTCAAGTTTCTTGTGAACATCCTACACATCCCAAATTTGGGAGGCGTACTTCACATTCCTGCCTGCCCCTTTTCGCCTTCCCAACCTCCTAATTCTTACCCGATTTTTATGTGTCCATATAAATGTACAGAAAACACTTATCTTTGTATATCCGTTCATGTTGTCTTCAAAAACTTTTACTTCTAAACTTGCAATTATACCTTCTTATTCTTCAAAGTCGTCGCGATCCCAAGAAATATTGTTCGCACTTAAGTAACCTCATCTTAAGTATATATTGGATATGGACAGCGCAACATCCATCACATATCTAAATCATAGCAACAGCTCCATTTACGGTCTTGTTTTCTGCGTAGCAGGAGCGGTGTTAGTATTCATATTAATCTTCGTCTGCTGTGGATACGGGTGTCTCAAGAAGAGGAAATTAGAGGCTCAGATTAGTAGAGAAGAGAAAGCGCAAGCTAGAGCACGCCGACTAGAGCAATTTGCCATGATCAAGGTACCGCCGAACGTTCATTTGGCAGAATCTTGATGTAACTTTATGGGAACGGGGAAGGGCTTAGAGTTAGGACTATGGAAAAGGGGATTGTTTCATGGGAGGTCAGGAAATAAGATGTTTTTGGCTCTTCGCTAATGAATGGCCCATATCATACGATTCCACTGACTGTTCGAGTGAATAGACGACATTAGGCTACACAAGTACAAGTGTCATACTGGGATGCTTTCTCCTAGTACAATCTCTCCACCTTCGAGATTCCAGTTGCATTCTGAGAACGTAATGAGTTGCAAGTATCTACACCCTCACCAAAATCATTATACTTAAATCATAACTCCCGAAAGCAAATTGAGATCTGAAACGCTCAAAGCAAGCCTGTAAAGCTCTTCCTACCATTGCAATCACACTCTACGAATCAACAGATATGCAGTCTTATAATGTTCTCGATGTATGGATGGAAACGCTTGTTTATTTCGACCCCATTGATCGCCAGCCCCAGAATAAGCTAGTCCGTTGTATTTTCAACGATTTCTTGTTGGTAGTAGGTTTGTCGCCGCTTGCCGTGGGTTTTATTGTGGGTTGGGTCTTCTGGGCAATTACGGCTATCGTTGTGTTTCCTCTTTTCATAGCAGCTGTGGGTATGATGCTCGTCTCAGATGCTATTGCTGTTTCTTTGGAAAATTTCTATCGCGCAATCAAGCGCTGGATTTTGAGAATCTGGTGCAGAATTTTTGGCAACCGCAAAAATTCGACAAAATATCAGCTGCCTACAACAAACACTCCACAAACAAATGTTGCTACAAAAGAATCTCCATTATCTAGTTTGGCTCCGTCCGTTTTTATCGACACTAAGAACGACGAAAGAGAGTTCGCACTTCACAGTAATCCTGTGACAACAATGAAATACACTCCGTCTAATTCAACCCCGGTATTTCCTTCTCCATGCGCTGAAATCGGAGGTCGCTCTAGAGAGAGAAATTCACAAGCTACGGTCTTTCCTTCTCCTCCTCCTCCATATAGTTAAATCTTTCCTCAGGCTCGAGTTTCTCAATGGCTGTGACCAATATATGGATTTTCTGAGCTGGGTTTCGGAATAGGATAGTTTGACAGGCATCATAGGTCTCGCTGGACGACCTTGACATATGCTTCGTTGATTTTCGGGATGGAAACGAATAGGAAGGAGAAACTTTCGCGGGAGAAAAAGAATTTGGAGCCTCATGGGATTTGATTGTATAGGAGCATAGCTTTGATAGTAAGATATTCGACAACGAAGATTCTGCATTCGTTCTCATTCAAAACTTCTAAATCCGTGCAAGTGATGATTGCTTGATTTTGATGATTCATTCATGAGTATTATTTTCGATGTGAATCATAATCCATAACTGTAGCAATCATCGAGTCACACCACTCACATGTATTTATTTGCTAGAGTCATATGATACACAGTATATCTTTTTGGATTTCCAAGTCCGCAGAAGACTTCGAATAAGTGAAACAGTATCTCATCTTTTAAAGTCCTTCCAATTCTAACAAGGTCTCCTCTATCTCAATTCTTTCATACCACTTCTCTTCCCCTTTCAAACCAGACTACCAAGAACAAAGTCTTCACATCCTCGTAATCGAAAACTAATATTGTGCCAGCAAGTCTGTATCAGAAATATCGGATTTTTTTCCCTCCCGGATTCCCATAATCACTGCATCTGCAGTCTCACTTTCACTTCGTCATAACACACTCTCACTCAGCATCCAGTACCCCAACTTCTCTCTACCACCAACAAACTCCCCGCTCCATACCCTCCCCATCCACCCCATGAACCCCATCATCCCAATAACCGGCTACGTCCTGCTCTCCATCCTCCTCCTCCTCCTCCTCCTCCTCATCTGCAAATACCAAATCTACATCGAAACACAAACACAAACACAACCATCCCCTCAAACCCCAGAACTCCATGAACTAGACAACACTACCAGGATTTCTCTTCAAAGAGGCGGGATCGGAAGGCGGGAAAAAGGATGGAGAGGTATTTTGCCGTTTACGAGAGGAGAGAGAGGGAGAGGGCATTGTGAGGTTGGGGGAGTTGAGAGAGGGGATGGGGATGTTCGGGGAGGAGAGAGAATAAATGGTAGTAGTGCGAGGAATAGGAGAGATGAAATAGATGTGGTGGATGGAGAGGTGGAGATACTGGGGGCGTCACCGCCGTATACTGGAAGGGGGAGGTATGAGGGTTGGGTTTGGGGTGGGGGCTTGAGATATGGTAAGGAGATACGTATTGATGGATTGTGATGTGGAATTCGAGTGTGTACTTAAGAGAATTATGGGGAAAAAATTCAGGGAAATGATGGAATTATCGATGACTCGATACATGAATGACATTGCTGGAAAAGGTAACAAAGCTATTTAGACAATAAGGTGGCATTTTATCTGGCACGAAAAGTCTATTGAATGTCACCCAAATGATATCTTCCAATTGCTAAATAATATATCCATAAGAAAGTAATAAAACCCCCCTCCCTTCCATATCTTTTCTTTTTCAAATCCAGGTATCAAATCATGAAACTATCTTCCAAATCCCTTTCCTAATCCCTTATCCTGTTTATAACCCTAATTCCCATATTCCCTGTAGAATGAAAATGATAATGACAACGATACGCTAATGCATGAACATATAAAATCCCTCCCATTCGTAATCCATACCTATCCTGACTTTTCTTTCTTTTTATCTTTTCTTCCCGAATACTAACTAACAAGATGTGTGACGTTACGATAGACTAACATAAACACGGAGATCAAACAAGTCGATGAGGAAGATGATGCTAGAATCTTCCCCAAATAACACCCTTCTCACTTTCCCTCTTCTGTCCCGCACTCCTCATCGAATCCCTCACAATTTACACTTTCTTACCCGGCGCCTGAGCTCCCTCTCTCAATGCCGGTATCGCCGCAACGGGTTGCGCCACCGGCGAAGGAGGTTCGATCACCACGCCCAAACCGCTTCCTCTCTGCACCCAAGGCAGTTTACTCGAATCCAAATACTTTTCAAACTCCCACGTACCACCCGTTCCAACCCCATCTGTCGGAGTATCCATCCCCATCGTCGTATTCGTGAAGTTTGATTCCCTCCCAGGACTATTATTCGTCGTCACAGTACCATTTCCCGTCCCGGGATGACTCTGACCACCGCTTCGTTCCCGATATGCTTCTGCTTCTTGGTCCATTCGGTTCATGCGTTCCATGTCACTGTCTCTATTCATGCCCATATTCATGATACTTCCACTCCCGCGGATTTCACGATCGTTGACCATCCATGGCTTTGGTTTTTCGGAGTGAGATGTAATGAGAGCGGCATCGCTTGCAAAACTGAGTGCGCTCAAGGCAGGACTACTTGCACGGCTATCCATTTCCTCTAGTTCTTCATCCATCTCATCCATTTCAGCCCAGCATAAACCATCGCTACCACCACTCAATTCATATATCTCTTGAGCTTTTTCTTTTCTCTTCTTCTTGCGCTCTTTACGACGTGTAGAAAGACTTGCGAGATGAAATGCAGGTTTAGGTTCGGTGGGAACCAAATTGAGGTTTTTGTTGAGGATAGCATCTGCCGCATTATTATGGCTGGGATTACGGGAGATAGAGACACCGGAGTTTTTATATTGAGGATTAAGTGTGAGATTGGGGCTTCCGATGGCTTTACCAATGTTCAGAGAAATCAATGAGCGATTGGATGGTGTTAGAAGAACAGAATTAGTGCCCTTGTCGAAGAAACTTAGCTCTGAAGGCGCATTGGAGACATGTTTGGATTTTTTGTCCGCTTTGTCTCTGCTAGAGATAAAGGGTAAAGGTAAAGGAGAAGAAGGAGCGGATCGAAAGGATTCTTTTTTCGAGAGACTTCGAGATGTTGATGCGAAGGTGGAAACCGTGTTTGACCGTCCAGGAGCTTGTTTGCGTCGATGTGCGCGACGAAGAATGAAAATTGTTAGACACAAGGTTAAAGCTATTGAAGCAAGAATTGCGAGTACAATGCCTGCTATGACAGGAGTCGAAATCTTTGATTTTGAAGAGGAAGGTAATGGTGCGGGATTATTAAGAGGAAAGATTGTAGTTGGATTTGAGGTGGGATAGAATGTGGTCCAATTGCGTTGATGAATGGAGAACTGAGAACGTTCGTAGTCGGCAATCAGGTATGCTTCTTGGAGAAATGCTCGTCCAAGTGTGATCTGAGAATTATCGGCTGCTCTTTTGAGGGGGAAATAACGAGTACTGTTTTTTACAAGAGGATATTCGGCCCACCAATCAAAAGCAGCGTATGGGAGTGTGATGTTTACCATGGCTTTGGACGTCGAATTTGTGAGAGTAAATACAACAGAGGCATTTCTGTTAACAAGTGTAGTGTGTTGGGCATCAGTCAGTAAATAAAGTTCTGATTCTGTATCGTAGGTGATACCAATAGCTTCTTCGAACTTTTGGCATATACTTGTTGGTAGGTATAGGTATGGGACCGATGAATCAATAAAAGCTAGAAAAGAGGATGATGGCGATGATACAACTTGAGATGTCCCACCCGGTGATTTAATCGTGATTGCATTGACGTCAATCGTTAAGTCATCGCCAGAAGTGGAAAAATCGACAGTAAGGTTATTTGGTACGAAGAGAGATTCTTCGTAACCACCTAAAGTAAGATTGCCTAAGACTCCTCCACCATTGGCTCCCCCACCATTACGATAATAAGCACCAGCAGTGTAGCCATATGATAATGATGGGATATGGCCCTGAGATTTGAGATTGGACATATAACTTGGGACAGGTTCAGTTTTGCTCGAGAAATTTGTAGGTGCCGGATTAAGACCAAAAAGACCCAGCCAAAAGTCATGAGTGGCGATTGTTGCGAGCACTTGTGAGCTTAGGGAGGGAGATCCACTACCCGGGGACCCTAACAAGATGGTATCGTTGCCATAGTCTCCATTGCCAGTAAGGCCTAGACTGGACTCAACTTCCAAAGCGAATTCACCTCCGGGGTTGATGGTGTTTGGTACCCTAAACTCTTGTTAATGCCATGATTATAGAATGTATCTTGTTAAATCCACGTACCATGTAGTAGATGAATTTGAGTTAAAATTCAAGCCTCTCGAGCTATAACATGTTCCTGGGTCTGATGGAGTACAGCCATCTGGTGATACGACCCAAGGCTGATTACTTGCTGTTGATATGAAGACCAATATAGGTTGAGGAGGTGTTCCCACTGTAAGCCAGAAGCTTGACCAATTCCCGTCAATACCGTTCCTAATGAAATTGTTAACAAGTGACGTGCTTAGATAGAAGCTTGAAGATCGACGACAACTTACCAATTACCGCTTGGAAGGACGGTGAGAGGTGGAACAGGGATTGATGAAGTTTCTGAAGCCAACGTCTGGTCAAAAAGGCCGAGAATGGGCAATAGGACGAAGACCAGATACCTCCTTGAAGACATCGGCATTGGAAAAGATCATTAAGGAGAGTTTCATAAGATCAATAATTGTTGAAAAGACAGAACATGCTGGCTATGATACAATAGCTGGTAAGGAAAAACAGAAAAGAGAAAAGAGAAAAGACGAAAACAGGTTTAGACGGCACGAACGAGGTGTAACTTGAACACAAATTTCCGACAAGATCTGCATCAGGACGGGAAAGTGTAAAAGAAAAGTAGTGTACGTAGGAAAGGTCGAGAACTTGGAGGATTCAAAAAACGTGCTGTGCGTACCGATCACCTATACGATACTACCATACTACCATATCGTGTGTCAGATAATTTCAACTGCCAGGATCTGCGGATGGATAGGAGGGGGAGAAACAGCTTCTATCAAATTTGCCTAGAGCTTAGAATGGTGCTACTATGTGTGAGAGGGGCGAGATTGGATAATTAGCATAATTCATGAGAAGGATTCATTTTTGGCTTTGTCATGGACTATATGTGGTATATGACTATAACCAATCTTCAATCACCATTTTGTAGAAGCGGGAGATTCATAAGACAATAGGTCGAACAGTCTGTATAACGTTGGGGCCGAAATCTATCCTCGCTTGGTAGACGGATGACGAAAACAAAAGGTACCGCACTCGTAATATCTCTATGAAGCTTTTGTGTAGCTCTGTGTAGCTTTGACAAGGGAGCTTGAAGGTACTTCTGAGGTCCCTATATTGTATCCCGAGAGTTGTAGCAAAATGATCCCAATTGAGCATTTGAAACGTAAACCTGGGGTAAACTGAGGCTCTCTTTCAAAACACGGCCACCAAGTTAAATGATCATTGATCCATTAAATCTGGATTCAAAATCCTCAATGAAGCTCCCAAGTTTTCAATTGCAAAATCAAGCGATACTGTACTGCAATTCAAAGTAGTATATCCCACCCTGATCTTCCGCTTCTTTTTTGTGAAAAGAAACCAAGGGGCTGATTCTTCAAATCCGCGACGATGTAACGATATCTTCGTGTCATTTGATTTCCACATAAAACCAAGGCCCCCTGTTTTCCAAGGATCGGATTAATCGAGGTTGAATCCTTACGAAAACGTGGAATAGGGATGATGATGAGTGAGAATGTCAGACGGTTAGTTTTCTTTTGTGGGTGGTAATTGAGATTTAAAGAGATGGAATGGTTTGTTAACATGTGGATTGTTACTTTGAAATGGAAAGGAGTTGTCGGATTCGGAAACGCGGTGAAAGCCGGTCGATTTGTCTCTTATAATACTTGACTTGTATCTTAGTGACCATGGTTGGGGATGTTACGATATTAGAATAGATAGTAACGAGAGCTCTAGAATGATATATATGCATATATCATTAAGGTGTTCATATTGTGTTCCGAAATCTCAAGAAATGATAAGTAGAAGGAGAAGGCTCGGGTAGATTGAGTAGATTACTAATCACAAGCGGCAGCACACTTCATTACGAGACTACCTCGAGACTGACTACCCACCACCATCATCACCATAGTAAAGAGCCCCCAAAACGGCCATTCTCCAGTTTATTCGAGTCTCCTGGCGACTACTCGTCCATACACGCACGATACGGGCAGCCGTACTTGAATTTTGGCCCTACAAACCATCTTTTTTTGTGACATCGGGCGATTCCCAGTTTTCTCACATATGTTTGGGCATTGTGATACGAGGAGGTACACCAGTACAGCAGATATCGTGCTGGAAAAAAAGAACCTTCCTCACGTCACTTCCAGCAATGTTTAGACTTCTGGAAATGTGGGTTTGTTATACTTTCCCAGATTTGCCACCTAAGCCTTACTTTTACTGATCCTCTCAGCGTACTGCTAATCTAATAAATTGCATTATCGCACGAGGGTACCCATTTAAGTGTATCTACTAGATCTCTAGAAAATCCGTCTTACTTCAAGGTTTCTGGTAGTGTGGACCGATGTTACTTCAGAATATCTCCGCCTCCAAAAATATCCTGAAAAGGAGAGCGAGAGAGAAAGAGAGAAGAATGCGCAGCCAACATACTGCATCGCACCCATACTCACACCCACACTCACTCTCGCTCTCACAGTGCACCCACACCTAACGAATACTCCAGGTTGGTCGAAAGCGGTTTCTATCGTTATATGTAGGTGCCTCGGGTGCTTCGTTGTTTTCCCTTACGCAGTGTACCTTTTTCTGCAGGGGGGCCACATTTTTTATATTGAACCTGTGAAGTGTCCACTAAGATTACTGTATTTTATTTCAACCGAGTCTTATTCATCCCATCACAAACTGGCACAGCCGCTTTCGTGACCTTCCTTGATCTTTCTTGATCCTTCTACCTACCGCTCCTTCCACTCATTTGTTTTCGTATAATGGAGGCTCTATATTTGGCCCATGCATGCTGCTTACGATGGATTTAAGTTGCGAATGGAGCAAGTCACTCTATTTACGATGCAAGTTCATTAGTGTCAGGCACAGCATCGACTCTTGCATCAGCAAATAATTTGATGAAGATCTCGTTGATCAGCCTTCCATTCCATCGCGAAAGGGAAAGACCCCCTTGTAATTTTTGGGATGGGAATTTGACTTGTTACTCTCTCAACTACCAAGTGACTTAACCTACAAACCCAACTGTTTAACATATTTGAAATCCAAATTTCATCATGAGATTGTTTCGTGATGCAGGCTCGTGGGTGAGAAATATCCTACCTAGGTACTCAGCCCCAGGGTTTCATTTCTTTCAAGAAGAATATAGGAACCTCCTCCTCTTACAATTCTGTTCCTTTTCTCCTTCTCTCGTCGTTTGTCTCTTTTAATTCTATATTCTCATAAGACTTTATCAATGGGTTGATGCCCGGCGTATTGTCCCGTTTTCACCATGAAAGTTTTGCCAGTTCTTCTCCTAGGCACCCTGTCTCTTCTAGATCCAGTAACCGCTTCTTCTAAACTAGACCAAGGTAAGATTAGTCAATATTGACTTGTGGGATTGCTTCATCTTGTGGCGTTAAGTGTTACATCTGCTGATATATTCTTTCCTCCTAGATGATGTAGTTCGAAGGTATACTAATGAAACCTCATCGTCGCATACAACTTCTTCTACCATATTATCAAAAGGGACTCCGACCACCACACTCATTTCCTCTAGCACATTGTCTGTCTCTTGTACGGCAACAGTCACTTCAACAAGTGGCCAGCCCTTGATAGCTGCAAGAGAAGCTTGTCCTACCACTGTCACTATCGTTCATACACCCCACACCACTTCCATATACTGATAAAGCTGTGGTTGAAGCATCTACTTTTCAAAAGGCTACCGCTACAATTCCGGCCGAGTCATCCATATTGAAAGAATCGGTACACACTACCGCCTTCAACACAGATCTTAAGTCGAGTCCTACCAGTTCTCACTCAGCCTCCTTATCACTCCAGTCTTCGAAAACTTCCGTTGAAGCTTCCGATAAAGTTTTAAGTACTGCTATCGCTTCTAGTACTACCACCTCAGAGTCAACTGAGCCAATAAGTTTAGTGACATCAAAGCACTTAGTAATCCAACCCAGCTCTCAAGTGTCTCTTCTGTAGCCACTGCTTCGCATTCAAGTGTACTTGATGAATCTTCATTATCAAAGACATCCGGGTTATCTTCGAAACCACTTTCTTCGACGACTTTGTCTGGTGGCACGACAACAACGCAAGCTTTCACACTGACATTAACGTCAGCTGACTCAACAAAACTCCTTGAATCTTCAAAAACTATCAGCTCATCTGCCTCATCAGCGCATACTGATATATCAAAGTCTGAGCCTTCATTTGTCTCTAGTGCATCCAAGTCTACTGATTCTTTATCGTCAAGTCTTATTTCTGCCATCAAGAGCGAGTCTATCGCATCCAGGGCTTCCAATTCTGCTTCATCTACGACTGTGTTCTCGATATCTTCTTCTGGAACAATAGTCTCCCAGCCAACTGTTCCAGCTTCTACTGCTATAAATTTAAAATCTAGCTCTGATGCTAATTTGGTATCTGCAAGTGGATCATCAAGGACATTGACGTCAAAAACATTCGAATCTTCTCATCAGTTAACACATGAATCCAAATCTGAAGCTAGCTTGACCCAATCTTCAATAACTTCTACATCTAGCTCTCTTTCAAGAGCATCTGAGACTCCTGTTCAATCGACACGTGAGTCGAAATCGGAGATTGGATCGGAGCCTTCCAAAGTATCGTCAATCATCTTGACATCCAAGACACCTAGGTCTTCTTCTATTCAAACAACACGCGAAGTCAAATCGGAATCCAGTTTAGCATCTTCTGCGCAAGTATCTACGACTGCAGTCTTGGCTTCCAAAACAGCTGGATCGTCTATTCAAACAACACATGAGAGCAGATCGGAATCAAGTCTACCCCTCTCGGCAAATTCATCGCTTTTTTCAACTTCAACAACTTCAAAGGCTTCTTCTACTCAAACAACACAAGAAAGCAAATCAGAAACAAGCAAATCCTCTTCATCGGCTTCTTCGGTTCTAGGCCTCTCAACCTCGAAAGCGTCTGGGGTACCGACTCAAACACAAAGTCAATCGACTCTAGAATCAAAATCCAGTTCTTCTACTACTGGAGCCCAACCAACTCTAGAATCGTCACAGACTCAAATTCAGACTACTCAAACTCAGACTACTCAAGAGTCATCTTCGGGAAAGCAGTCGAGTACTCACAGCCCAATTCCCAACGCTACCACATTCCACAGCTCGAGTGTACAATCACCCTCTTCATCTGTGATTAGACAGCCACAGACTACATCTCATAGCTCGAGTGTGCAAGTACAAGCTTCTTCTGTAATCAAGCAATCAGATACTACATCCCATAGCTCGGGTGTACAAGGACAAAGTAGTGCACCGGAAATAAAGGTCACGAGTAAAATTGTAGAAACTCCTACTACAGGCAAACCGAAAACAACTTCTCAAAGTACAAAGCTTGCAAGCAACACTGAAAAAATAAGCACCTCTGCACGAGTACCTGAAACTGCTACAACAAGTGCCAAATCATCAGTCAGTGAAACTCCAAAGCATAGCAGTTCAGTAGAGGGAGTGTCTACATCGATTAAGACCTCGGAAATCCATTCAATTAGCACTGCCTCCTCCAATCGATCAGAAAAGACCGAGACTACAAAAATCGAAGGGGCTTCTCATACATCCTCTTCAATACTCAGTAAGACTACGGGTGAAAGTTCTACTGCTAGTGAAAAGCCCAAGACTTCAAATTTGTCTCCCACGTCTTTCAAATCGTTATCTGATAAGCAATCGACGACTTCTCATACAATAAAGCTTTCAACTTCAGAGATTATTTCTAAGACAGAGACGGCAAAAGAAGTAACAGAAACTACTACATTATCTACAACTAAAGTTCAGACTTCGAGTCAAAGTACGAAATCAGAATCATCAAAGTCACTCTCTTCAAAGACATCTGCATCAACACAAGGGGAATCAAGCACGAAAACCGCTCCCACTCAAACTTTTTTCTCTAAACCATCATCAACTGAAATGAATACGAGCGTTATCTCAGGTTGTACGGCAACCTTCTCGGTTGTCGGTCAAGTCTTACCAGTATGCCCACATACTATCACCCTTGATTCATTCTTTTCCACTTCGAAGACACCAGGTTCTGTTTCACCTACTAGTATTATCGTCTCGACGAGTGTTTCTGCTACTTCAAAAGTGGCCGAAACTACTAGTAAGACGTCTGATAGTCATTCTGCCACTTCCAATCCAGCTACCTTCAATCATATCACTTCTAGTATAGTCAGCGAATCGCCAGATGCGCCTACATTAGTTTCTCAAACCAGTGTGCAAACAACCAACCCAATTAGCAAGTCTCCGGATACGTCTCCATCGTTTCCTGCCACCAGTAATCCAATAAATCCTGTATCTGCCCCAGGGAGTAAGCCGGCTGATACTACAACTAATACCCAGCCATTAGGATCTACAGTTCCTGGATCCATTGCAATTCCTACTACTTCTAACCCAGCTAAGAGCAAATCACCTGATGCTCCTACTTCTAATCCAGCAACCACTAAATTGCCCGACACTCCTACGTTGGCCTTAGCAAGTGGCACACCGGTTGTACCAGCTACAACGAAACCACCTGACGCTCCTGCTACTAATACAGGAAATACCAAGTCACCTGATGTAGCTACTTCAAGTCCAATAACTACAAAGTCACCCAAATCACCTGTTTCACCTACGATTAGTCCTGTGACTTTAAACACTAGTAATGGCGGAGGAGAAACTTCAAATACTGCCCCAGCAACATTGTCAACTACTAAAGCTCAGACTGAAACTGCTAAGGCGATCTCAAATCCACAAGCAACTTCAAATACCGTATCTTTACCCGGAACAAAACCGACTGATACTGCGACCGATGTGGCATCAATAGGACCAACAGTTTCTCCATCAATTGCATCACCGCCTGTATCTAATCCAGCTGGAACAACGAGTAATGTATCGCTACCAGGGACAACAAGTAATGTATCACCACCGGTAACAACGAATCCTGTATCTGTATCTGGAACCAAGCCAACTGATAATACTACAAACACATCACCACTAGTAACTACAGTTCCTGGATCGACTGCAATTCCTCCTGTATCTACAAACCCTGTTTCTGTTCCTGGAACAAAGCCAGCAGACACAGCTCCAACAAGCAATCTAACTAACACCGCAACTGGAAGTCTTGCATCTCCACCTTTATCTACTGGAACTACTACTCCTGCTATTGGAATTCCAGTTGGACTACCGAGTGACAAAAGTACAGCTCTCCCAACCACTGGAACGAGTGATATAATCGGTACCCAACCCGTAGCTAGTAATCCTGGCATCCAAACGGGCGGCACAGAAAAATTACCCTTAGCATCCGCCACCGCTTCTATAATTTCCAGCATTCAATCATCACCCACCGGCGTAAAGACCAATCCCGATGTAAACACTGCGATATCCAGCCCGACTATAACTCCCACAACCATTAAGCCTTCACCAGGCCAAACCACCATCGCTCCCGTTGTGTTTAATTCCCTAACTCTCAGTCAAGGAAGCTCCAACTTCGTAGTTGGTTCACAAACTATTAAACCCGGTTCCGAAGCTACTGTAAGCGGCGAGCGTATCTCCATTGCTCCATCCGGCTCTGCAATCATCATCAATGGCGTAACCACAAGTACTACGCCCACACCAGCTCCATCTCCATCCAATGGTGCCAAGGCCGTTTTATCAACCACCACCGAAGCCCTCCCTGGTGTCGTTGTTGTCGGAACATCTAGTGTAACAGCCGATTTCACCAAATCCGGTTTCGTCATCGGAAGCGCCACTTTGACTCCCGGAGGTGCGATTACGCAAGGAAGTACTATTATTACTCTTCCTCCTAGTAGTACCACCTCTCTCCCTTCCAACGTTGTTGTGATTGGATCTTCGACCTTTACTAAAAATTCCGCCTCTGAAGTTGTGATAGGTAGTCAAACATTGAAACCAGGTTCCGTTATTACAGTTGATGGATCTACGGTTTCTTTATCACCGACTGGAAATGCGGTGGTGGTTAATGCAAACAGTGGGTTTGTAACAAGTACTGCTAGTTTGCAAAGCGTAGTTCCATTGAACAGTTTGGTTATTGGGGGACAAACGCTCACGGCTGGAGGAACAGTGACGGAGGGTGGAGATATATTAAGTTTGGCGGCGGGAGGAACGGGGATTGTAGTTGTAGGGACGATGACTGTAGGTGCTGGAGGTGCAACAGAGTCGGCGAAGAAAAAGAGTGCGGGTGTAAGGATGGGGCTTGGTGGATGGGGATTATTGTATTTACAGGTTTCTTTTGTACTTTTGGGGTTGTTGATTTGAGGGGGTTTTAAAGGGGAGAGGCGGGTGGTTTTTTGAGATGTTTTAGTTTATGACGGTTGGAGGTTTGGGGAATGGGGAATGGAGAAGAGGTGTATTTCTATATTAGAGAGGAGGGTTTGTAGCTATAAAACAGGATAATGGGATCATACTAGCGAGCGAAAAGTTTCGGATAGTTTGGAGGATGTGTGTGGCTTTTCTTTTCTTTTCTTTACCTTCTTTTGTTCTCTTGTTTTATGTATTATTATTACCACTATTATATACCTAGGTATCCAAAATCTTTATATCTACGATCGGTATTTGTTTTTCACTGGAAATGAGGGATTGGGGGTGAGTGGATTGGATTGTAGGGGGGGATATTGTGGATAGAAGAGTAGTGTAATGAATGGAGGAGTATATAACTATATTATATACGATATAATGATACGACATTCATTATTCATATATTCAAAGTTATACAAATTGTACACATTCTACACAATCTTCACAATCCTCATTCTCTTATTCGGTGATCCTCCTACTCATCATCACAATCATAATCACAATCACCATAACCATCAAAACACATATCTGTAAAATTACACATACGACTCTACCCAAATCAGCAAAGAGTAATAAATTCGCTGTTACATACCGACCTACATAGTAAACAGATACAAGACAGTATGAAAAACAAGTACATAATTCTATGCCCTGATACCCCGACGCGAAACTCGATATTCCATTGCCCACTTTCCCACCCTTCCCTAAGACAAGGACATTGCCGAGAAGGGAGGATGTTGATGAGAAGTATGTATATTATTAACTCTTGCGAAATTTACGAACCCGATAGCGAATTATTATCATCAATAGTACGATGCTTGGAACTTTTACATACATCGTCCATCATCAATGTATATTTGCTTTAACAGTCATTTTGTTCCTGACTAACTAAATAATGTATTATCTCGGATGAATGATTGATAAAATACCCCTAAGTAAATTATCTAACGTTGTATCGATGGATTTTCACAAAGGATTGTAATCCCTTCCACTATTCTATGTCGTTTGTTCCTTCGCACTCTAAATCTTACTGCAAATAGAATCCACGGGATGAGACGAGATGAAACCGAATCCAAGTCGAGGGAAAACAAAGTTTGTAGTAGGAGTAAATTAATCTATTCCTTCTTTGCTCTCTTAGTTGCTAACCCCTCAGTCATACATTGAGCCACATCTTCTACCGTCTTTCCTCTTTTTCTCTTTTCGGTCTTTTCCTCTCCAAGGACGGTTTCATCCGCGACAGTTCGGTAAACGTCGGCAATCTCTCCAAAGACACCTTTTCCATCCTCACCTTTCCCGTCGGTGGATTCTCCGCCCGAGAATCCTGTTTCCCCGTGGCATATTCCGATTTCCTCCATTTCTCTTACCCATCTATAGGCTTTTGGTGGCATACCTGTGATTCCCCCATTTACCGATCTCCATAATCCAGGTACTCTTTCGCTCATCTCTTTCTCCAATTCTCCCAAGACGCCCAATCTTTGAGCCGATGTGAATGCTTGAATACATAGGGCTGTGAATCCTTTCGTCGTACTGGCGAAACAACATTTAAGACCTGATGCCTTACCGATTTCTTCGCCTAGGTAATTGGTATTCAAGAGATCTGCTAAATGTGCACCGGATACAGGCGCTTTGGAAAGTTCATGAGGTCCGGAGATGGGAATTGAAGGACGGCTCCAAGCATGTTCTAGGTTTGGATCAACAGATGCCGTGGTACTAGGAGTAGTGGTATCATTTTTAAGTTTAGGCGCACCGCCAATGATTCCGCCGTCGATGAATTTGATGGATGGCGATGTGGTATTAACGTGAGAAGCGACTGAGCGAGCAGTAGCAGGAGCTATGGCGTTTAGGTCGAGATAATAGAGAGGGGAGGATTTTGGTGGAGAGAGTGAGTTGAAGGCGGTAGTGATCCGAGTTGCCAGTGATAGTGCATCACGAGGTGGAACTATCGAGAGAATGTAGTCCGACTGTGAAATTAGGGATGTATCTGTAGGAAGAAGTTCGATTTTGGATCTTTGAGCGCGTTCATGGGTATCTTGGCTGGTTGAAACAAGGTGAGTTCAATGTATAATTACGATAAAGCGATGAAGATTTTCTTGAGTTTATATATGCAATCATCAACTTTGATGTTTGAGGAGGTACATCGGCTCCTCATCTCACTACTTTTGAAACGGAGGATACAATGACCCATTCGTCATGAATCTCCCCCCAAATCCATGCCAAGCATAATAGTTGAATGTACTTCAGATGTTCACATCTCAAGCTGAATCGGTCTATTCTCTCGAAATCAGAGCCAGTTTAGTGATGAGATTCCCTAGGGTACTCCAACTCCTTTAAAAGGTCCCTGGATAACACGAGTCATAGAAAACAACACAACCAACCTTCGACCCTCAATATTCGTCACAACTCGATAATTATGGGCAATGAGCAACTTTGCAACACCCATACCCATTTCTCCAATGGAGATAATACCGACAGTAGCAAGTGGTGACATTTTAAAAGGCTCGAGTCAAGAAGAAGAGGGACTGAATCTGTGAAAGTCTGTCATCTAGATTGTATGAAGTGCAAGTCTGCGATTTCGGAGAAGGAAAGAACATCGCTTAGTTGCAGTACTGCAATGCAATGCATGTGAATTAATCACCTGATCCATGTGCACAGACCACTAGTCGAGTCCTCGTCGCGACTCACAAAAGTTGACGTATTGAAGGATCCTTGAGTGTATTGTACATTGTACATGAGAGTTATTTACCTCAAACAAGCCAATATATCAAAGAAATCGCCCTTTTCCAGTTCATATTTGTCCCCATATCTTGACAATGGATCAAAGCCTTGATGAAATTAGTGGTGATCGTCAGGTAAGCCCTGTCAAAACTCGACGCCTCGAACATGTTGTCTCAGCCTTGCAACACGACATAGTACTGATATCGTCAAGCAGCAGAGAAATGGTGGAAATCGAGGTCGACAAGGCCGCAGAAACAATCGCAATGACCATCCTCGTGACGGTGTAAGAAAGGTAAGAGTCTCTTCTCGGACTCTTCGATAATCCTCGAGTCTCGAGTCCCGAGTCCTTCGTTAACATTTCGCCGCTCTAGGTGCATACACCTCCTCAATCATCAGATACTTAATTCCTCCCCGAATGTTCTCAGATCGCATCGCTGCTTCAATCAGTGCATGACGCCTCGACGGTTCATGATAGTACGTAAATAGAATATATAGCTAACCCACGCCTCCTCTCCTTTGGCAGCCATATCAAGGAGATGATTCTAGAAACATAGACTCGTAAGTCTTAAACTCCCCTCGGATTGAGAGTCAATTAACATTGTTAGCGAATGGGTTCATGACAAATACGATGATCGAAGTACGCATCACTTCCGTACTTCCTGTTCTTTCTCGACCATCTAGCTCACAAATATCTCAGACGCCCGTTCTTCGAATCGCCCGGAAAGACGCAACTACGAAGAAGACAGACCAGTGTATGCAATAAACTCTTTTTAGGTCAGCGTTGCATGCTAACTCGGAATAGAAACAGTGGAAAGGTTAGGGTCGAGAATGTGCACTACGATTTGACGGAAGAAGAATTGGAGGTATGAAATATGAAATATGAGAAGAATTAGAAAGGTTTTTGTTGCTAAGAATTTTGTTAGGGTCTTTTCGAACGCATTGGTCGTGTTTCATTCTTGAAGCTCGATTACGACCGAGCCGGGCGTTCGAATGGAGTCGCTCATGTAACTTATGAGGACCCAAGAGATGCTCAGAGAGCCATTGAGGAATTTGATGGAGCAAATGCCAATGGTAAAAGCTATGTTCGTGTTAAATGTAACCATTTTAACACTTTTTAGGTCAACCAATTCGTTTGAGGTCCGTTCCGGACGGTCCATCCAGAGGCCGTGGAGGTAGAAATCAATACGAACCATCGAGATCAGGTCGTTCCCTAGCCGATCGCATGACTCTACCTCGTTCTCGTTCTTTATCTCCTCCAATCAGGCATTCTGATGTCAGTAAGCCACCACCTGAGAATGTTGATCGATATGTTCCGGGCGACCGAGGAGACCGACCAGACAGAAGGAGACGTTCGCGCAGTCCTTTACCACGCCGAGGAAGAGATGGTCGCAGACCGGGTGCGAGGAGAGAAAGAGGAGATCGCAATGCCGGTCGTGGAGGAGAAAGACCTGCAAGAGAGAGCAGACCAAAGAAAACACAAGAAGAACTCGACGCCGAGATGGACGACTACTTTGGAAATGGATCCAAACAGGAAGAGAATGTCAATGACACTTCAAATGAAGCTTCGGTTGCCGCTCCAGAGCATAATCAAACTGGAGATGATATTGAAATGGTTGAGTAGGTTTTATGTTGTGTAATACAAGAGCAGGAGGGAATTCAATCCCAGCTGTAAATTGCTCATGGAATAGATAGTTCAGCAAGTATATTTGAATTTCTTTATAGAATGAAAGCAATCAGCGCATACATATTTAGTACTACACGTGGTCGGATATATATATTCCTTGTTTTCTTCGCACCTTTAAATTACGTGAAAATGGGTTCTCGATTAGTCATTGCTTTTCCCAAGTATTCTCGGCAGTCCTACGAATTTCCATCTTCGTTTAGAGTATTCGCCTCCTTATTGAGAAGAGTACTCTCATACTCATACCTACAATACTCAGATCGTCTTTGCCTATCTAGGCACCTAGTACCCAGGTATTCTTCCCATTTACGATTCACTCATCGGGTATCTCTCCAATTCACCTATCGGATATATCTCCATACCACATCATAGTCATAAAATTCACTAGATGCTTACTAAGTCACTCTACCCAAACATCCGTAACTAGGTACCTACCTAGGCATGCCCCTCATTCACTTCCATTGTATTGCGGTAGAAGCCCATTCCTCGAATACAAGCTGTAGGATCCTACTGACCTTTTTCGCTGCATCCTCACATCGTGGACTCGCCTATTGATAATTGACGTTTCGAGTAGTTTCGAGTATGACGAATGGATGCTAGGAGGTGTGTGTGGATTTTGTTTCTTTCGGGATCCCATGCTTGATTTGATAGGAGATGGTATGGGGAGTTGGGGGGTGAGGGGGTATATGATGTGTATAGGTATTGGTGTAGGTGTAGGTGTAGGTATAGGTATGAATTTAAGAAGAAGTAAATGGAGCAGTAAATGGAGAACAAAGACTGAGGATGAGAATAGAGAATAGAGAATAAAGTCTGAGAATAAAAGGTCTAACGTATATCGAAAGCCGTTGTTATATAAGATTACATATCACAATCGACACTCACATTGAAACGCTTTCCTGATTTGAATTTCGAAACTTTTTCGCGTTGAGATGTAGTTTGACTTTAAGTGACAAGTATTTCTTTGGAGCTTCGTGGAGATGTTGTATATATATGTTACAGTTTGGATTGGATAATATTGCATTGTATTTTGTTGTACAGGATTTGAGTTTTGATTTTCGTGTGTCTAACTATACATTTGTACATTTGTTGTGTATGATACACGGTACGTAGCCTCAAAGACCAAGTATATCCTTATATAACCTTTCTAGCTTCCTCGACTTATCGACAACCCCCCCTTCTCGCACTCGCATCCCCGAGGTTCTTGGTCTTACTTGCAAGTAGTAAGTTCGCCGCATGCGGTCCGAAATACTCTCACCACCCCTTAGACCTTCGATCCCCCACTCTCCTCCCCGTACGAAAATCTAAACTTCTTCTCCGTAGGAAAAACTTTAACCTTCCTCACCTCAACCTCTCTCCTTTCCTTCTCCCCCACAAACTTCGGCCACCTAGTATGCCCAACCCTCTTCTTCCTAATCACATTGCGTTCCTCCACTTCCGGAAAAATCTTCTCAAAAGCTTCATGCATACCAGTTTCCCTCGATAGGAGTCTAGCTTGCGAAATCATATTTTTCATTTCCTTTTCCGCCTCCCAAACAAGCATACGCGCATAAGTAACTCCTCCTTTCTTCTTCGCCGCTACGATTCTCGGATTGATATTACATTTTTCTAGGAGTTCATTTTGTTCTTCCCTTGTTGGAACGCGGCCCGTCGTAACGATAAATCTTGATGTCATTTCAAATAACGATTCGCTGTTTTTGGCATCAGAGCTAAATCTTCCAAGGAGAGAATTCATTCTCATTTTGTATTCTTCAGTCTGCTTGGGTGACGTGCCTGGTTGATCACGGTAGATGTATGAATACGGCATATCGATTTTCGTATTGATGAGTTCGTGTGATTTTGCATTGATTCGTTTTTGGTGAGATGAATGGAGGTAGATTCCTGACTCGGATACTGCGCCAAATTCGCCTTTGTGGAAGCTTAGAAAAGGTAGCGTCTCGTTGGAAGTCGAGGAGTCGTGAATATCATAGCTGGGTATTTCGTCGATTGTGCTAGGAACTACTCCAAATGTAGTTCTGCTAGACCAACTCAGGTCTGTGGCATCGCGGAGATTTAATTCGGTCTTTTCTGGTTCTTGTGTAAGAAGTCTTTTTCTTGCTACCTTGTCGTCGACGATGGAATTCGCGTCAGTGGTTTCATTCGATTCTGGAATATCCATTGGAGTTCCGGGTTCCTTCAACTTGGAGGGATTGATGGTAAAGAACTGTATGTGATCACCTCGTCGAGCGAGATTACCTAGCGTAGAATCTTGTGCTTTCTCCATTGATTGATCAGTATATTCAAAGGATGCTGAAACGATATCTTCGTATGTCATTTGAGGATCCAAGGATAAGAGGCCTTGTTTAGCGCCCCAACCACCACCACCGCTCACTGAATATATTTGGTCAGCTGCAGCTTCAGATGAAAAATATGATGGATGAAATCAATGCAAATTACTCACCAACGCGACAAAGAATGGCCCCAAGAGCTATTTGTGTACCAACAAATCTTAGATTTTTATCATCATTGCTCCAAGTTGACTCGAGATCTTCTGCCGATTCAAGCGTTGAAGCCTTGAGATTGGGGTCCAGAAGTTCCTTTCGGTATATCAACGCCCACACTCCAATGTTGGTGTGCAAATTACTATATTCCATGAACCTTGTAACTTGGGTTTCTAATTCAGATGAAGCCGGTCTGTTATCTGTATCCCCTGATCCAAAAGAAAGTTGTCGAACAATATTGCCTAACCCATTTGCAATGGGTCGAGGCAGAGTTAGAGGAACTGCTGGTACAAATATTGGTGGAATCATGGTATTTTCATAATGAAAAGCTTTGATATGCTGATATTGTTTTTGCTCTCTTTGTATGCATTTATATTCACCCTCATTTCTTCGAGTCCATTTAGCTATTTCGAGAGTTGAATGCTTGCCGTTCACAAACAAAGTATTTGCCAAAGGTAGACTTATTGTAGTACTCAATGCCAACTCCCACGGCTTTTGCAATTTGTTCCCAGAAATTATGAGATGTGATAATTTGTCAGGATTTTTTGCATTATCCTTGAATGATTCGGGGTTCCACACATTATCAGGCCTCAACACTCGACTCCGTAGACCATGCAAGAAGGAGAATCCCTCAAGCGGACCAGCACGCTCCGCTATGGGGATATCATCAGGTGAAGGTACAAGGCCATCAACTACAGCACCAACGACAACAACGTAATTCGGCTTACCATCCACGTGATGATATGTAAAACATTCCAAGACCTGTTTGATAAAATTCTCATCTTCAAGCCAATTCGCAAACGCTGGGGTTACTAGGATAACGACCGCTTCCTCGGGTGGATTAAGAGAGGGGTCCGCAAGATATCGAGCTTTGGTCATGCGCGCACGATTAGAGATGAGTTGAAGAACTTGTTCTTTAGTCTATATGATATGAGTGATGGTGGCATTATAAGAGTACCAATGTAGCTTACAGTGCGCTTGGGATCCGGAGAGATGATGCTGAATTGGCGAGGGCTCAGCGAAGAAGGTTTTCGGTCGAGAACCATATTAGGGGTGATTGAACTAGAGCTATCATCTTTGGCTCTCTTATTACGGATTTGTCTCATACGAGTTCGCCCCCCACCTGTGAGGGGCGCCTTCTCTGAGCTCTTTTGGAGGTCCGATTTAACATCATCAACCAGGTCCCCAAGAACCGTCTCTCCAGAGACAGAGGGATAATATGTGGCGGATGCAAATATAGACCTTACGAGTGTCTGTCGAGTTGATCCAACTCGAGATATTTTGAATCCACTTTCGTTGTCTTCTTTCATGACGTCGCCAACTTTGGCAGTGAGAGAGAATGCGCGCTTGGCAATTCCTTGTCGGCGTGGGCAACGACCCACATTGTGAATAACTTTACTCGAGATCATTACTCGTCGACACGAGAGATTGAGCATCTGATATCCCATGTCGGGAGAGTCATGGAGTTTCTCTGTTTTCTGCTGATCGGGCAAACGAATACAAGAAAGCGCAAATCATCGAATCATGCTTAGTCATTGATTTCACGTGATCATTAATATCCACGACGATCTAGATTTAGGGCGTCAAGTAAAACATTAGGGTGCAATGAACTGCACCTCAATCGATCGTGGTTTTCAAATCAACATGTTTCTGTTACTATCTTATTCAATAACCTCACCTCGGTTTTATATTTGCTTATTGTGATTCCAAGACCAAGAGACGTGATTTGTTGAACCGAAATTGGATCTTCATGATAGTCCTTTGCTGATTTGAACATCGGCGAAATATCTCATTATACTGAATAAACTTTTTTTTTTATGTAGATGAGGTAACTTTGATTTATCCTTGCACTTCTTCATTTACAGATGACTGATATCATCAAAAGCAAAATGGTCGTAATTAACCCAAACAGAGCAACGGTTCGGTTACCTGCTTGCTTGGATTCCTCCAGATTTTCGTTCAGACCGCTCTCTCTAATCCAGTCGATGGCGTAAGCATGGCTTCAAAAGAGGCTGTTCATACTGCAGCTTGTGCAGCTGTTCAAGAAACGACGCAGAAGGAGGCTCGACCGCAAGAATCAAGGGTGACCAATTAGAGATCTGATGGTCGATTTTTGCTGGGGGATCTAAAACGCACTTGACCACAACGAGGATAGTCTGTGAGATGGAGGTGCAAAAAGGCTACACTAATTCCGATTCCAGATTGATGCATGCATGGCGAACAAGAGATGGAGAAATGGTAGGGTAGTTCGGGTAGGGGGTGAGAAGGATGGTGATCAATGATTGATGATAACTGGTCGGTACCTCAAAATTGGCTGTTGGTACAGCAATAATCAAATTTGAATCCCTCCTCGATTTCCTAAATGAGTACAAACAGGTGGGATGAATTGGTGACTATCCTTTACCAAGATTGAGGAGAGAGGGGTTAAAAAGACGGAAGGGTATCTAGTTCGTAGTTAGGGAGGACACGGCAGAGTGAACCGACGGTCAGGAATAAACAATCAAATCATATCAATAGCCGAGATCCAACGATCTCTATAGTGTGTGCTTTTGTTTGGTTAGGTAAATTAAGTATAGAGTAATACGCAGGTCCTTGACGAGCTGGAGATTATCGTGAATTAAGGTTGGTTTGAGGAAGAGGAGATATTCGAATGCAAAATGGTGAGAGATGCGAGAATGGGTGTCATTTGTCTCATTCAAAAACTACCAAAAGGAACAATTAATATGACATTGATTGGAAAACTTGGGAATCCATGCTTGTCTCCTCCATACAATATCTGATGTGTTCCTTCGCCTTACGCGGCTGAAGGATTAAGCCTGTCCATCCTCAAGACTTCATACACTCGTTAGCGAAAAGATTTTTGCAGGTCCGAATTTCAAATGGGATTGAGTTCCTTGAAAGACCCTTAAAAGCTAAAACTCTTATTAGTGCACAGAATTCGGGTAAAGTCACTGGATCCAGGTAGATAGTTTGTACGGCATATTAGCTTTTTAATCAAATGACTCGGGACTGTCAATTTGTCAAATGATGGTCAATCAGAATAATGAGTAAGATGGCGTGGGTGAGACTTGGAGTACCTAGGTAGGTAAGTGATAGAAACAATGGGTGAATCGAGATACTGCGTACGAAGAACTAATTGAAGATGCTAGACTGGATGCGAGTGCTAATGTGAATCAAAATGTCTAAAGCGTTCGAGTTATCCGATTCCTTCTTTTCTTGCACAAGACTCACGAGTGATAATGAGACAACTGTGCAGAAGATATCTACATCGTAAGTGGATGTCCACTTTTCACAATACTGCAGTAGTCCAAAGATAAGCAGAACAACCGGGAGGAAGTTCAAATTCAATCCAATGATAGCCGAGCGAGAAGGACTCTTATGCACATTGAGAATGCATATCTTGCGCACATCTTACGCATCCATCTTTTTCAAGCAACTGCATAGAATTATTCCTGTCTTCAGCACAGAGCGATATCTGCACATTGCAAGTAAGGAAACCTTCCCTCCAAAGCAGTCTAAGCTATGTGTTGATATTGTTGGCTGCGCCATCCTCGGTCACCCCGGGAAAAGGTAGAGAAGCTGGAGAGGGTAGGAGAGACAGAATTGGAATTGAATACTACTTACTGTAAGTGGACTTGCAGTGATACGTTTTTGGGAACACTTTACTTGAGGGCGTTGAAGGTAACAGAGGTAGGAATTGCAACCACTCGATCGATCATGTACATACATACATACATACCCATTACCTAGGTCCCAGGTCCTGGGTAAGTTGTAGAAACGTCAAATACCCAAACACAAAACTGTAGCAAAATCGGCGTCATCATACCTGGCATGTATTGTATCAAAGTCCTTAAGATTTGATAATAATAATATCACGTCGGAGGTTTACTGGTATTACGATATGAATAAGATGATACTGGGAAAGAAGAGTCGAATATTCAGAATTTTTAGTAAGGGTGACCATACCGAGCGTGCCTGCTTCTCTCCATAATACCCAGGGTACAATGATTAAGTTTTATACAAAAGATATCCAGTGCTCGTGTTTACCCAGGAACTACCTAGATATCAGGAACGACCAGGAACATTTACTAGGATTAGTCTATTTTTATCATTCTGAAGCTTCGCTAACTCTACCCACGGCTCATTGGAAGGACATCTGAGCACTTTTTTCCAAATTCCAAGTCCAACCACCCCGCAAAAGAAAGTACTTCGTAGGCACATCTTCATCTTATCTCTTTGGGAGTTCCATTCATCAGATGAAATCTTGATGCTCAGCTGCTATGATTACGGTGACGGAGTAATAACTAATAAAGTTACATTCAATCAATCGAAATCCATCCATCCGCCAACAACGAGTTCCCTTCGCTACTGGTCTAGATACTTGCACATGACTTTGACTGGAAGCTTTGTTCAATACATACCTAGTAGATTATGAAATGTACTGTGAACATTAATACCACACAGAGAGTACTACCTAAGTAGGTAGGTATCTTCTTGCACAATCTCCCTTTCATCACTCATAAAATTGGGAATATTCTTGCAGACAGCAGTCGTTGCCATATGGAATCTGATTTCGATGTTACCTAGCACACTCATCAATGTACTGACAATTTCATCCATAATGGTTCTGGTTAGCTGTGTAAACGAGTACAAGATAGAGTGCTCACTGTACAACATGTAACCCATAATGAGGAAGTTCAAAAAGAAAGGACTTTGGAGTCATGATTTCTCCAGGACAACAGGGACAGCAGGGCAACGAAGTCTCAGATATACTTCCGATGAAAGCCTCTCACTGCGTCTGGAAAAAGGTTACTACTGGTTGTTGCTGTGTACCGCATCCATTGTGCGTCGTATACGTATTGTACGTAGGTAGGGTATGGCACACTTGTATGTGTCCTCGATTCGAGATACGAATCTATAAAATGGTTCCTGGGCAAAGCGGGCGGGAGCGATCCACGTTCTCTCCGCTTGTTTTTCCGATCTATCTGAATTCTGAATAGACTGGACTTCAATTGCGACCTAGATCGGGTGGTACGGTCGAGTAGTGTATTCTTGAGGGTGGTTACCAAGGAAGTGAATATATATTCTCGACCGATAGACCGATAGACCGATAGACAGGATCGTGATGAAAGTGATGAAAATGATGAAATAAGAAATCTTGGAAGGGAAATGAGGATGTAGAAGAGGGCTGGCTCTCTGGGAGATGTTGTTATACCTTCCGAGGTATTGAGATATTTTATTACATATTGATATCATAAGAAGAAGGATATTATATAAGTTATTGGATAATGAATAACGAAATGAATGAAATGAATGAATTTTACAGTATTGTACGGTCCTGTACCTAGGTAAGCAATAGGTATAGAATAAAACAGACGATTAATGATATTCAATTCCCCAAATTAATAAGATTGCTTACCTCTCTCTCTCTCTCTCTTTTTTTCTTGCTTCTGTAGAGTTTATCTACCTAGTACCTCCTCCCTAGTACCTTACCTAGCTGGAGGGACCTAGTACTTCTTTCTCTCTCTCTCTCTCTCTCTCATTTCCCTCTCCCTCTCTCCACTGGATATCAATCTATATTATCTTTGTATTTCTTCCATGCAAATACATAAGTAATTTTATACATATTTTATTACTTTTCTCTCCCTCTCATAATCTCTTTTATACCAACATTTAATAAAACCTCCAACTTCTTCCTAATTTCTCGGGTCCACTTTTCCAACACTCTAAGCTCTAGCGTCCTTTCTCACTAGCAACGCCAGCTTTGGGACGAATCTCAGAACTCACATACCACCTCTCCGTCCTTTTGTAGAAAGTCAATTTATTAGTCCTTCGACCTTTTTGGACACAACTCTCTCTCTCTCTCTCTCTCCCTCTCTCTCTTCGTCAACAACCCACCACCCTCTTCTCTCAAAATAAACCCTTCTTTCTTTTGGTAGTAGATTCAGTCGCATGTCCATATCAAAAGGGCTTTGCTTCTGATCTCTACCGTCCATTCCTTTAATACTAACTTACATTTTATCACTCCTTTCTCATTTGCGAATTCACGAAATCACTTATTCATCCATTTGTCGATTTTCAAGATTCACTTTGTCCCAATATCTCCAGTCTCCTCATCTTGGCTGCCGAATGTATGTCGAGAATTTCTTAGCAGATAAATCATCCATCTACTATTGCGATTAATAACTTTCTATTACATCTTCTCACATTTACTTCAATGGGTCGAAGGGAGGATATGCTAATTGATGGTCGCAGATTGGATCGTTCTCGTTGTGTCGCTCGTGTTCCCATTTAAACGATTTGAATCGAATAATTCTTCCTTTCGAATCTCGAATCCCGTACATCTCAACTTATATTTTTTGGAACTGCGAGCGGTTTCTTCTTCGACGACATTTTACTTTTCACTCTAATCATATGGTATTCTTCTAAGGGTGTGTTCGGTTGTTGGTTATCGATCCGATCTTAGGCAACATGGCTACCATATCAACAACTACACAAAGTGAGGTTAGCAGCCCTTCACAGCTGCCTACCTTCGTCTTCCCCGCACGAGCTTCTCCATCATCCATTTCCGCAACATTCCCAAGAACCTCAGGTCGGCGGCCAATGTCTATACCTACCACATTACCAAGTTTCTCCTTCAATCCTTCGACGACGACAACACCATCGCCCTCGAGCCCTACACTCTCTCCACCAATCTCTCCATGTTTCGCCAATTTTGATCTATCAAACTCCCCTAGAGCGGCTGGACATCGCAGAGGTACGAGTGAATTCATAGGTGGAGATGGCAAGGTAGGCTCAAATGCGGGATTGATGAGCACAAGTCCAACCCAAGGGGAGAATGCTCTACCACCACCTAATCCAGGAAGACGTGGACATGCACATAGACGTTCCGCTGCCGTATCCGCACACGACATCAAAATGATTCTGAACCCTACTGCTCCAAACACACCGTCAATTCCACGAGGAGGATCCGCCCCAAATTCTCCATCTGGTCATGAGAGTCAACAAGGTGTAACTGATCTCGCTAAATCTACCAGCAATGAGGAAGCCTCTCCTATCAAACCCTTCAATCGTACTCGTGTCGGTTTCTCAGAC